GACACAGCAGCCTGTGCTTCCCCAGTCTGCCCCAGAACGCTGATTCTGCACCTGCGTGGCCTGATTTGCAATTTCCTAGACTCCTTTAACCCCCACAGCTCTGGAGTCTGGATTAGTCAACTGTCCCATATCCTCTTCATTAGGATTCTGAAGGAGGTTCCAGTTAAAGACCTATTAGAGCTTGCTTGAGTCTGGAGTAACTCCTACCTTTTCTCCACCTCAGGATTGAGTATGCCCTGGATAGATGGCATTTTCCTGAAGCTCCTAATATATATGTTACAACTTGGGAGGTGGTTGGGACACCCCCAAACTGAGACCATTAAAAGTCAACCTGGAGCCTAGCGCAGTAGCCTAGTAGCTAAAGTCCTTGCCTTGCCTGCCCCGGGATCCCATGGGGCACTGGTTCATATCCCAGCTATTCCACTTCCTTCCAGCTCCCTGCTTGTGGCCTAGGAAAGCAGTTGAGGATGGCCCAAAGCCTTGGGACCCTGCACCTACATGGGAGACCTGGAAGAGGCTCCTGGCTTCAGATCAGTTCAGCTCCAGCTGTTGTGGCTACTTATGGAGTGAACCAGCAGATGGAAGATCTGTCTCTCCTCTCTGTAAATCTGACTTTCCAATAAAAATAAATAAATCGTTTAACAAACAAAAAATGCCAACATGAGGATGTGATGGGCTGATTCTGTGAGCTCTGGCTCTTATAGCTGGCTTGCCTGTGACCCGAGTGTCCACTGTAGATGACGGACAGTTAATTAGGGAGACATCTGACCATTCAAACCCACCTTATCACAGTGGATGTGGTCTTTGCATGTCTGCACAGGTCCCCCCCAACACATAGCATAAATGGGTGCTGCCCACAGCCTGGTGAACTCCATCGCTTTTCAGAATCCCCTCTGCCCACAATCCCCACCCACTGTCTGCTGTCCATGTGGATTGCAGCTTTACTTTCACCCTACCACGCTGTCCTGTCTTCAGTAAGTCTTCTACTCTGATTGCCTCCTTTCTTTTTTCAAATAATAAAATTCTAAAGCAATGAACCCTTGTATTTCAACCAGTTGATAAGTGTGGATCCCTTACTTATTAATTGGAAATAGAACACAAGTTGAGCCATGGAAGTGACTGTACACAGTATTAATCTGGAGAACTACAAGGAGTTGGAAAACCCCTGTATTTCAACTCTGTCATCTTAAACATGACCAACGTGGCTGGTGCTGTTTAAATAACATCCTCAGGGTTGCATGGTACCAAGGGTTGCAGCTGGTAAGAAGGGGTAAGGCGAAATTGCCCGGAACTTCTAGAAATTTCTATTAGGTGATTTGGTTACAATGTTTCATCACTAATAAAGCATGGCTAAAATGTAATATAATGCTGGGAAGAGAGGGGGAGTCTCTTATTATCTTAGATTTATTCATCAGCTTTGTAGCCTCCATTTGCAAATAGATGAAGATAGCAGAGAAAAAAAAAATCAAACCTTTTTTTGTTGTGGGGAATTGGGAGGACCCACTGGACATACTATGCCTTGAGACTGAGACCAAAGGGGAAATGTATGGTAAGGGGAAGGTAATGGGCCTGCTCCACTTGAGAAATTCCTTATGGGGCATTTTGCTTCCCCCAAGTCCGGGTCTACCAGACATTCTTTGCTACATGGCAAAATAAACTGCTGCTGAAACTCTGTGGCCAGCACTGCTACCCTTCATCATTGCTTCTGCATCTAAGTAGGCAGAGAAGGCCCACCTCCTTTAGCCTACTGCCTCAGCCATCTGATCTCGTTTAAGTTGGGCCAAGTGCACAGGTCCAGCTGTGGCCTTTGCGATCTCTCAACATGCACAGGCTGACCTGACTTGTCATCAAAGCTGGGCGCTCAGAGCAGAATGAAAAGCCTTCTACTGGTTTCAGCTTCCAAGGATACAGCATTTCATCTGCTACATGGTACTGGTCAGACAGCTCACAGACCAATCTAGATTTAAAGACTTATTTATCTGAAATGCAGATTTAACACACACACACACACACACACACACGAGAAAAGCGAAAAAGAATATTTTCCATCTGCTAGAGCACTCCACAAATGGCCTCAATGTCCAGAGCTGGGCTAGGCTGAATCCAGATGTCCTAGTACACGAGTTATTTCCTGCTGCTTTCTCACGTGCATTAGCAGGGACCTGGGAATGGAAGTGGAGCAACTGGAACTTGAACTGGTACTCATATGGGTTGCTGGCATCAACAATGGGTGGCTTAATGTGCTATGCAATAACACTTGGCCCCTGAAGCTAGATTTAAGGCCTGAGGAAATAGTTCCACCTCTGGCTGGAAGAAACTAGAGTCACATTGCAAAGGGGTGTAGATAATGAAGAAGGGAGTAATGTTACCATTGTTGAAAGCAGTCTGCCAGGAGATGTTTTCTAATTTCATAGAAGGATGTACACGACAACATTTAGCTTTTTGCTTCAGCTTGTTGGACCCAGTGGATTCTTTGCACCAAGGGCAGCTTCCAGGGGCCCAACGCCATAGTCTAGCAACTTAAGTCCTTGATTTAAACACATTGGGATCCCATATGGGCGACAGTTCTAATCCCAGTGGCCCCACTTCCCATCCAGATCCCTGCTTGTTTTCTCCCTGGGAAAACAGTCGAGGACAGCCCAAAAGCCTTGGGACCCTGCACCCGTGTCGAAGACCTAGAGGAGGTTCCTGGTTCCCGGCTTTGGATCGGCACAGCACCGGCTGTTGCGGCTCACTTGGGTAGTGAATCATCAGGCGGAAGATCTTCCCCTCTGTCTCTCCTCTTCTCTGTTTATCTGACTTTGTAATAAAAATAAATTTTCAAAAAACAGGGGAAGGGCATCGAAAAGGTCATTTTCCATGAATTTTCAAAGCCTTCTTGTATGTCCAGTGATGAGAAGCGTTTATTTTATAAACTGCTCTAACACTGCACAAAGAGGCAGGAATAACTAACAAACATAGTGGGGCAGGATGGAGAGGTGGAATCAGGGAACGGACAGAGCAAATAAGGATTGGGAATGACACTGTCTTCTTTACTCCGAAAAGTAAATTTCCTCCACATGGGAGGTCTGTAACAGTCTGTGATTCCTTCCACTGGCATGTTATGTCTAGTTGTGAGGAACCGCAGCGCCTTCAGTGACTCATCACATCACATGGTGTGGTGACAGCTTTGCCCTTGACTTTTCTTGGACTAGACCCCAGCTCCAGGGTTTTTTGTTTTGTTTTGTTTGTTTTTGACCGTTTTTCAATGATGACTAGCAACCAAGAGAACCATTATATTGGTTGCTGCTTTAATTTTATTGAAGTCTTGGCATTTATTAAGTTTCACCTCATTGGGCTCAGTTGAGCAACACTACCCAGCTGAGCACCCTGTTGAGATAATTTAGAACTGCGATTCTGCTCTGTGCGAATTAGCTATTTCTGTGGAGGTGGGAGATTTCAGTGACATGGAGCCAAAGAGGCCTTTCCTACGAGAGGGTGTGTGGATTGGGGGCGCAGTGATTCTGCTGCAGGAGGCAGGTGAGGAGGACCCTTCTTCAGGACTCAGCCTAGGACCTGTCACCTGGTGGCACAAGTCCATCAGAAAGAACATGCAGCATCTCTAACTGAAAGGCAGGGACATCCCTTTCGTTAGCCCGAGCAAACAACACTGCCAAGACCAGAGTCAGAGAATGCTGTTGGTGAATTAGGACCTTGTTATTTTAGAGACAGTTTCCCAGATTGAGTACTGAAAAAAGTTATTCCAAGCACTTTTTGGATCTATAGATTTTTATTTTGCTTTGGGGTTGGTAACTTTTAAAAGCAGCCAATATACTGCACAGTCACAGCTCTATAATACTCATAGTTTGCCTTGCAGGAACTTAGAAGCTAGAAGGAATGGGGCTTGACTACTCCATCATCTGAACATGGGTGGTTATTGCAAAACCAATTTGTAGAAACTTTTGTATATCATATTGTTTCAGAACACGTGAATGGCTAAGGGTTGTGAGGATCTTGGAAAGAGAATATGGGATTTGGGCTGTGTTTTATAAGCTGGGTAAAAATTAGTCAGCAGGGGGAAGAAAATAAATTATAAAGGGTCAGAAATTGGAAAATTTTTAAGTGTTGGTGTGGCTAGCATTTGCCATAGAAGTTCAAGTGTCATCTAGGCTGTGTCATTCAGTGTCGGGGTTCCAGATCCCATCCACTCCTGATCCCAGCCTTCTGCTAAGGCGACCCTGGGAGGCAGCAGATGATGGTCCGAGTAGCGGGGTCCCTGTCCTGGCTTCTGATTCCAGTTTGGCTCAGTCCCAGTCATCATCTGGGCACCAGACCAGCAGATGGAAGCTCTCGCGCTCTCAGTGTCTGTCAAAATCTGTAAGTAAAAATGTTAATAGAGCTGAAGGTGAGCTTCTTTGAGTAATGGGACCATGGGAGACAAGCCTGGAAAGGGCAGGGCATTTTGTGGATGCTCCAGACTGGCAGACCACACCAATGTGCTTAGCATTAAAGCCGTGAGCTTTCCTAAGGTGGCTTAGCAGGGAATGGCTACAATAGTGTGGTGTGTTAAGGCTTGTAGTGCGAAGAAGGTGTGGAAACAGAGGGAAAAGCTAGATGAGACTAACCCGCTACACCACTGCCCCAGCTCGGGAAGTGACATTTAAACTGCAGTCTAACGCAGAGACATTGAAGATGTGGGTGCCTGCAAAGAAGAGGGGGAAGGAAGGGAAATATTGGTTTTAGGGGCTTTCCAAAGACACAACTGTTGGTGAGGCAACCTGGAGTTTGGGGGAAAGTCTGACGATTTGAAGAACAAAACTGATGAAGTAAGCAAAGGAAAGAGCTGCGCAAGCTGAGGTTAGAGAAAGTGAGAGAGGAAGGTGGACTTGACCAGCTGCTTTTAAAAGTGTGAGTTTTGCAAGTCGGAAGAAAGGCCACTGCAAGATTTTCAGTTTGGCAAACGGTACCGCCTACTTCACCATTAAAAATCAAGGCAGCGATTTGGAAATCCATTGCAAAGGTTCAGAGGGAGAGTGCAGACGCGCACCAGACAGAAGTGAGACCTGGGGAACATTTAGGAGGAAGAATCAACCAGGCCTGAGGACCAAGCGTGTGGGCGTGAGGGAGGAAGCCCTTGTTCAAGGTGACTTGTAAGGAGGCCAAGCGAACCATTTCTAGAAAAGGAGACTTGCACCGTTGGCAGAGCGCAGCAGCGAAGAGGCAACTGGACGTCGACAAGACGCAGGTGGAGTGGAGCTGGGAGGAGAGAGGCGGAGACGAAGGCCTCAGTGGGTGCAGCTTAATCCGTGCGGGAGGTAAGGGTGGACCACGGGACGGGACGCACCGAGCTCTGGGCCCTGACTCAGTCAGGGCGCCTGGGAGTGATGGTGGAGATGGCAGAGGCAGGATGCTAACGTGGCAGGAAGCCCCGGCGTCCCTCGTGCCCAACATGCTTGAGCGGTTAGGTAAAAGCGAAGGCAGCAAAGTGGCCCCAGGAATGTGGCAACGCGGAGGACAACGCCCGCACGCGTCCCAGAGGCTGGCGGGCGTTCTCAGCGCAAGGGCAAAGTCTGAGCTCTCCAAGGTCGGGCCTCTGCGTCAATACACTTCCTTTTCCGCTAGCTCCGAAGTTTGTAAACAGAAGCTGAGCCCGGCGACGTTCGGGCGTCCGCGCGCGCAGTCCGTGCCCTCCCGACCGGGCCTGCGGCGGGAGGCGGCACGTCCGCGGAACAGCCGCGTCCCATTGGCGGAGCGCCGCAGCCGCGCGCTGATTGGTGCGGGCGGCAGGAGGCGGCGTCCGGCGCGGCCTTTTCTCGCTCTGGACGCTTTCGCTTTCTCGTGGAGGTGTCCGGCCACAGGCGGAAGCGCACCCGGCACACCCCTCTCGGAGCTGAGGCGGCTCGGCGCGCCCCCGCCTACTGTCCCGGCCGCTCTCGGGGGCTGAGTGAGTGAGTGCGCGTGAGGTGCCGGGGAAGGGACACGCAGGGACAGGGTCCTCGGGGGGCAGTGCAACAGGATGCGGGGCGTGGGCGAAGGGCAAGCCTGCACGGTCCCCCGGGCAAGCCGGGCCACCTGCTCTTGGCACTGATGCTGCCCGGTTTGGCTCGCCTACCAGGAGTTGCTGAGGGGCAGTGCAGGTGTGTTGTGCAGTAGACTCAGTCCCTTCCCGGTCACCCTTTCTCTCCCTCTTCTAGCCCCTTTCCAAGCGTTCCCCATCGTTGTTTTTTGCAGGAAGTCTGGTGGCGAGTCACCCTCGCGAGCCAACCGGCGGCTGTGACGCTCCCCGCCCCGTGCACGTAGCCCTCACCGTCTTGGCGTGCGCAGCTGCGGCTTGGGCTGAAGCCTTTGCTCCCTCTCCGGAGCACGGGGAGTGGCAGGTTGGTAAATGCTCACCGGAATAAATGTTGAGTACATGATCGTATCCGTGTTGAGGACTGCAGTTTACTCTGGCTGCTTGGTTGAGCATGTCTGTATAGATGAGAGAGGAAGTGTTAAAAGCAGAGTCGCAGAGAGTGGGGCAAACGCCGAAATCTCCCGTTGCTGGTTCGCTCCTGGACCTGCATCTGGATCTCTTCTGTGGGTGACAGGAACCCAAACACCTGGGGCCAGCTTCAGCTGCTTTCCCGGTGGGTTAGCAGGGAGCAGGATGGAAAGTACAGCAGTGAGGGCTCAGCCAGTCTCCATGTGGGGTGCCAGCTTTGCATGTGGCAGCCCAACCCGCTAGCTACAACGCAATTCCAGCCCTAAATGTTTCTGCACAGGAGACAGATGTGGTCTAAATCGGTGTGCAAGGCAGGCAGGATGGATTGGGAAGATAGTGTTGGAGGCGGCTGGTCTTGGGACTGGAGAGGAAGGTCGTAACCTGAAGTTCGGGATTAGGCCAGGTGACAGGAGACGGGAAGGTCACTCTGTTTCGGAAACACTTGTTTTAGGGAGATGAAATTGGGCTTGGGTCTGCTGATGTGAACTGAACTGATGCTCCTGCCCTGGGCCAGCTGTGGATGTCCGAGCTCATCCAGCTTGGACGTGCAAGTGTTGATAAAAGAATAAGCCAGCCGAGTTCACTCAGCTCGAAAGGGATATTCTGGCAAGATAACTAGCAGACCACGGGAGAGCCTGGGGTTTGGAGGTTTGCGCTCAGGGAGCCTGTGTCTGCAGCAGAAAGCCGCGTGCTTCGGCAGGTGTGCTCAGTGGGGCTTGGCTTCCTTCTGTCGCGCTCAGGGGCTCTGTCTTCCCCTCGTGGGGTAGGCACAGTCTGGAGCCGGCGCGCGCGCGCGCACACACACACACACACACACACACACACACACACACACACACACACACACACACACACACACACACACACACACACACACACACACACACACACACACACACACACACGTGTGCTGTGCCAGGCTTGCATCCTTGCTACTCCCTGCCCTGCGGGAACGCTTTCCTCTCAGACCGGCTGGGTGAGATGGAGCTCCACTCCAAGTTGCCAGCCCGCTAGCTCGAGGCTGGAGTGAATCCTGAATCCTGTCTTGGTGGAGGGAGGCTCTTCATTGGCCTGCTAGGTGCTGGGATTGCCTTCTTCAGGCTTTCCTTGTAATGGTTCCCCTTCAGGTCTACAGGATAAGATGGACTTCACAGTTATCCAGAGGGATGCATTTTACACTGTGTCCTTTTCTTTTTTTAAGATTTGTTTTATTTTTATTGGAAAGTCAGAGTTACAGAGAGAGGGAAAGAGAGGAAGATCTTCCTGCCAATGATTCACTCCCCAAGCAGTTGCAATGGCTGGAGCTGCACCGATCCAAAGCCAGGAGCTTCTTCCAGTTTTCCCACGCTGGTGCAGGGTCCCAAGGCTTTGGGCCAGCCTCCACTGCTTTCCCAGGCCACAAGCAGGGAGCTGGATGGGAATTGAAGCAGGGCCGTTGGGATTAGAACCGGCGCCCATATGGGATCCCGGGGTGGGCACGGCGAGGACTTCAGGCACTAGGGTATTGTGCTGGGCCAATTTGTTTTTTAATATTCAAAAATTTACTTACTTGAAAGTCAGTCACAGATATAAAGATCTTCCATCCACTGATTCACTCCTCCGAGACCTATAGCCGTCAGTGCTGAACCTGAGTGAAGCCAGGAGCCTGGAACTCAGTTCAGGTCTCCCACATGAGTGTCGGGACCTGAGCACTAGGTCGACATCTGCTGCATTCCAGGCTGGGCATGCTTGGCAGCAGAGCTGCAGTGACACCCGGACACTCCCGTGTGGAATGTGGGAATCCAAGCAGGTGTCTTCACTCCTGTACCAAACCCCCACCCCAGGCAGACTTGCAAGGCCTATTGCTTGAGCTCCTAGTATGTATATCGTGGGCATACAGCAGGGGACAGGATGTTCCCCAAATCCTTTCCTTCAAGTGGTGGAAACAAACAGTAGTCAAAGTAATCAAGTAACGGTGGTGAGATAGTGGGCGCTGTGTGGAGCCTGTCTCCTAGGCAGGAGGCGGCTGCAGTTGAAATATGGTGGTGAGAGAAGGCTGCTCCGTGCTGTTGGCATTGGAGCAAAGGTTTGGAGATGTCTTTCCCAGGAAGAGGGAAATGCTGCTCCCACACTATAAAAGAACAAAAATGAACACACACCCATACTTTAGAGTGTAGGCATCTAGGAAATATATTTCAGAGACAAATTGTGTTTTTGAGTGAGCAAAATATTTGTGAGAAGCACAGACGAAAAGAAAGAAGGCTTCCTTTCGCATTGCCATCTCCGGCTGTGATCCATTGCTCTCTTCCTGTAGGATGTCTCAGTGGTATGACCTTCAGCAGCTGGACTCCAAGTTCCTGGAGCAGGTTCACCAGCTTTACGATGACAGTTTTCCCATGGAAATTCGACAGTACTTGGCACAGTGGCTAGAAAATCAGGACTGGTAAGGAGGACCGCTTTGACGGGGGAAGAAGTTAATCTGGACTTAAAGAACTTTGGTGTGAGACATTCTCAGTCATTAGGGAAGTGCAAGTCAAAACCACGAATTTCCCCTCTCTCCTGCAGCTAGAGTAACTGTGATGGGAGAGGTGGAAGAGAACAAATGCTGATGAGAATATGGGGAAAGGGACCCTTTCCACCCTCGGTGGGCGTGCAGGTTAGCATAGCATTTGTGGAAAACAGTATGCAGATTCCTCAAAAATTAAAGACAGGACCGTAGTCTACTTCTGGGTGTATATTCGAGAGAAATATTTGAAGAGATATTTGTGCTCCATGTTTCTTGCAGTACAACTGACAATAATGGGGAGCAATAGAAGTGTCTTTCAGATGATTGGGTAAAGGAGGTGGGAATATGGAATGTTATTCAGTTGTAATAAAGGATGGACTCTGTCATTTGCGACAACACTTAACAAACGTTAAGTGAAAGAATCCAGCACATGAAGACTAATACCGTCATTTTGCTCTTGTGTAACCTAAAAAAGTTGATGACCTAAAAGTTTAGAATATGATAGTGCTTCCCAGAGATTGGCCAACATATATAATATAATTAGATGAGAGTGATAAATTGTAGTGTTCCACTACAAAGTAGAATAACAGTAGATAATAAGGTATTATCTGTTGTTAAAAAAAAATAACATCCTGAAAAAAAGGATTTGAAATGTTTGACCACAATGGTGATCAATGCGTGAGAAGATAGACATGCCTACTCTAATGGTGAGCATTTTGCAATGGAAACACGTACTGAAATACCACTGGGCACCCCGCAGAGACAAATATGTGCACTTTTATGTGTCAGACATACATGGTTTTAAAAATGTGTTTGTTGATCGAGTTGGAACTAAGACTACAGAGATGAATCTTAATGGCCAGAGATTTCATCTGTTGCATAAAAGTTGATTTTACAAATGGCATCTACAAAGGTGCCATTAATCATCAAGCACTTTAATGTAGTTTTGTCAAATTTAATTACAGTAGGTACTCCTGACTGCTTTGGACAATTGAGAAAATGTTTATACCAGCCATTTTGAAAAATCCTGTGCTGAAACACAGGATGCAGACTGTTGGAAGTAATTTAAAGTAATCAAGGCTGAATTGTGGCAAATATTGATGTGAAATACCAAGAAGGCTAATAAAATTAAGAAACTGTATTTTTTTTTTAAGATTTTTTTTTTTTATTGGCAAGTCAGATATACAGAGAGGAGGAGAGACAGAGAAGAAGATCTGTCCGATGATTCACTCCCCAAGTGACCACAATGGCCAGGGCTGAGCTGATCCGAAGCCAGGAGTCCAGAGCCTCTTCCAGGTCTCCCACTTGGGTTCAGGGTCCCAAGGCTTTGGGTTAGCCTCAGCTGCTTTCCTAGACCACAAGCAGGGAGCTGGGTGGGAAGTGGGGGATTAGAACCCATATGGGATCCCAGCGTGTGCAAGGCAAGGACTTCAGCTGCTAGGCTATGGTGTTGGGCCCAAGGTGCTATATCTTAAGACTAGTATGCATTCTACTTTAAAATTTCATATTTGCTGGCTCCAAAAGTTTTAAACATGCTGAATGTATTTGACATGGACACTGATGGATTTTTTTTCCCTCTTCTTGGGAGCTAATCACTGTAAGCTCCTGCCAAGTCCCTTGGCGTCCTAGAATTTTTAATGCTAATTGTGTATGATAGAAATACTGTAAAAACTGCTGCTGCAAACATTGCCAGTTCCAGAAGGAGAAACTACTACCTAAAATTTGTTTTTCACGTTTTTCAACTATTTCAGTAAAGAAAGCAACATTTGTCTTGTTTGCTCTCAGTGGTATCTGATATGAAATACGTATGTTTTCAATCCCCCAGGGAGCATGCTGCCAATGATGTTTCGTTTGCCACCATCCTCTTTCATGAGCTTCTCTCACAGCTGGATGACCAGTACAGCCGTTTTTCCTTGGAGAATAATTTCTTGTTGCAGCATAACATAAGGAAAAGCAAGCGGAATCTCCAGGTACCACCTCGTTCTTGCCGAGCTCAAGTATTCCCGTGTTGATGTAGTTTACTTTCTTCACTCAGCAGGATCTGATGAACACGCACTCAGTGGTGCTTAGCATACAGACACAGGACATAAAGCATTAAGTGCAAGCGCAATCTGTTTTATAAATATAAAGACTTTTAAGGCTTGAGCGCTTCACCTGTAAATGTCAGCCCTGAGAGAAATGTGATGCTTACCTTCCTTGACCAAAAATGTAAACCTAAGAAAGGGACTGTGCTTTTAGAGCCTTGAGCTGGAGTGGCACTTGAAAGCTCCAAGGAACGTTCATGCTCGGTTAGGCATAGCTAGGTCCTTGGCAGGTGAGGAGCCTGCTTGGAGGTGTGACTTCCGGGAGAACCACCTGCGTTGGTGAATGGGAACTAACTTCCCTGCCCTGAGAGAGTGAAGGGGATGTCCAGGCATGGGAGAACGCACACACTGTGAACGTGTGGGGGTTCCTGAAACATGCATGCCCTTAGCCTGCCCGCCACATTTATTTACGTATCATCTCTTCCCTTTGTCAAGATTTGTTTGAAAGATAGAGTTAATAGACAAAGAGGGTGAGGTAGATAAAGAGACCCTCCATCAGCTGGTTCACTTCCCAGAAGGCTAGCTGCAAGGCCCAGGTCCAGGCCCAGGCTGAAACCAGAAGGCAAGAGCTTCATCCAGGTCTCTTATGTGGGTCTGGAGCCTCGGTACTTAGCCATCTCCTGCTTTGTCAGGCACATGACAGAAAGCTGGCTGGGAAGTGAGTGGAGCAGCCAGGACACGAACGTGTGCCAACACTGGATGGCAGCAAGTTAAGCTAGTTTACCAGACAATGATGATCTCTTTTCTTTTAATAGAGATGAAAGCTATTATTTTCTTGTTTCATGTAGCACAGCCAAACTCTTCATGCTATGTAGCTAGAAGTTTCTGTGGTTGTATGAAACCAGGAGTGGGGAGGTCAGGTTAACTTACAGATACTGCTCCCCATCACTCTGTGCTTAAGTGCACCTGTTAGAAAGAGCCCGATCAGCCGCTTTGGCAGGAAGAGCAGTAACTGAGGTGAATACTCTTGGCCTAATTGAAAAAGCATTTACCAACAGATAACGTTAATTGAGAAATCTACTGGCTAGTTTCCATGTAATTTGTATTGTCTCCTAACAGAAAATGTGGAAAGATATGAAAATAAAAATATAGAACCATGTGTGAATATCCTTTATTTTTAAATGACTACATACTTTAGTTCATTGGAAAGTTAAAACGATGTCATAATTTGTGAAAGAAATCGTTTGCTGTTGAATAAAATTGCTTATATGTAATTTGAAAAAATATCATTTGAAAGGCAAAGAGAGTTAGTTCTTTCATCCCCTGCTTCACTCTGTGTGTGCCCACAACACCCAGGGCTGGAGACAGACCTCAGTCCAGGTGTGCCGGCTGCTAGCAGGGACCGAGTTCTTGGAGTACCACTTGCTGCCTCCCAGTGTGTTTTAGCAGGAGGTGCAGTTAGAAGTGTAGCCAGAACTTGAACTGGGCACTTTGGTATGGGATACAGGTGTCCCGAGTCCTATCTTAAACTGCTGTGCCAAAAATTGCAGCTTATGTTGAACTTTTTTAAAAAAAAAAAATTATTTTCTTTCATTTTATTTGAAAAGCAAGGAGAAAAACAAATGAAAACAGTTTTTATCTGCTGATCTGCTTCCCACATGTCCTTAATAACCAGGGCTAGGCCAGGCCAAAGCCAGTAGCCAGGAACTCTCGATCTCCCATGTGATACCAAGACCCACCTGCTTGAGCCACCGTCTGGTGGTTCCCAGGATGCACATCATCAGGAAATTGGATTGAGACTTGAGGAGCTGGACCTTGACCCAGGCTGTCCAGTGTGGGATGTGGGTAGCCCAGTTAACAAGGATTTAATAGATGAGAAATGAAATTTCTCAAGGAATATAAGTAAATTCATTTCAGTTGGTAATACACTGTGGTTTAAATATCCCAGACATTCATTTGGTTTCTATTCCACCTGCTCATCCAGGACAATTTTCAAGAAGACCCCATCCAGATGTCCATGATCATCTACAGCTGTCTCAAGGAGGAAAGGAAGATTTTGGAAAACGCACGGAGATTCAATCAGGTGCTTTTTCCTAATTAGACACTAAACTTGATGATAAAATCACTGTTCATTGCTTCCACAGATGTTAGAGAAGCCCAGTTCAAAACAGAGGCGAATATCTCTCTGTTTTCGTGACCTCTGGGAATGGGGAAAATCTGATTGAGGAAATTTCTGGTCGCAGGGTTTATGGATAGACCCTGACTTCATGGAATTTCAACTGTAGTGAGGAGGGAGATGAGCAGACACTCCAGTGGGGGTTGTGGTGATTGAGAAGCCATGAGTGGTTAATGGGCTGACACAGGTGCTGGGGCTGCTGCATGAGGAATGTCTCTGCTGCTGGTGCAGACGTGGGAGCCAGCAGGCAGGGGCTTCCTGTCCCAGCCTAGGGGTATAGCCATGGATGCTTACGCTTAGTCGGTGATGATGGGAAAAAGCACAGAATCAGGTTGTGTTTGGGGCATGATGCCAAGAGGGCCTGTGTTGGGAGAATGCAATATGGCCCTGAGCGGGAGTGAATGATCCCTGTGGCTTGGGTCACTGAGAATGGAAATGCCGCTCACTCAGTCGGGACATGAGGACGGGAGGGAGGAGTGTTTCTGCAGAGCACAGGGGCTTCTAGGGAAGGGGACGAGGTCGGCAGGAAAATGGGGCTTCTTTTGCAGCAAGTTCAAAAGCTGTTCAATTCATCAGTGCATCCAAAACCTGAGTGAGCAGAGTTGTGTAGTATCAGAATTTCTAGATTTATTTGTAGTTGGAAAGACCCAGTGAGAGAGAGGGAAAAGGAGAGACTTTCCTTGCTCTGGTTTGCCCCCCAAATGCCTTTAACAGCCAGGGCCAGGCCAGACAGAAACCAGGAGAAAGGAACTCTCCTGGGGCCTCATACATGGGTGGTAGGGACCCAAGTACTTGACTTGTCTTCCACTGCCTCCTGCATGCCTTAGCAGGGAGCTGCTTCTCAAACACAGAGTGCATCAGAGCCCTTGGACCAGGTGCTCAGATCGGACTTGTGGGTGTCCAAGTGGTAGCTTAACACTGGCTGTGCCACACCACCTGCACCAAACACCAAGATTTTTGATTATGGTTTTACCAGTCCTCTTGCCAGCCTTCCTGGCAGATGGGGTTGAGCCATGTGTTTGATGTTTGCATGGCACTTGTCCATCCTTTCTTGAGTGTCACGATAGCGAGCGCGACCCAGCAGGTGGCGGTGGTACGTGTTGTTCTGGCAGAGGCAGTTCTCAACCATTGCAGGGCCCAGTGTGGAGTGCAGCCTGTGTACACTGCAGCAGCAGCAGCTGACAAAGCAACACCGTGACACTGTGGAGGGAGGGAGAGAGTTGAAGCCATGGCGGAGGATGCTACTGGAGGCATGTGTGCTGCCAGAGCGTCTGTCCTGCTCAGGTGACGGCCACTGTGCTGCCACACCGACAGCCCCTGGCTGTGAACGGGTGGACTTTCCCCATCTGGCTAGTTCATCATGTCTGCGCCAGGTGGCATGCTGGCTCCTCGGATATGTGCCTGTTTCCAGCTGGCACACACTGGGGACCTGGATGGTGTGGGATTTTCAGCGCACAGCACTAGGCAGTGAGCCTGCCTTCCCTTTTGAGGCTAGCCAAAAGCAGACAGAGCTGGCCGGACAGACTGTCCACCTTTGTACCCTGTAGGTCTGTAGGCGGTAGGTCTCCTCCCCTTAGGTCCCTGGAACCCGAGTTGATACTGGATGCAAGGGATGGGCTCAGTTCTCTCCCTTCAGTCCCATTGCTAGCTGATTTTTTTCTGTCCTGAGGCTGGCCAGCTTTTGAGGACCTCATTAAAAATGTAGGTATTCCGAGGCAAGGTTCCTTTTGAGCCACTTAGAAGGCACGTGAGTTTTTAGTGAACACCTGTGTGAGGCCAGCTCAGCTGGGGGCAAGGTGCTGGTGACAGAGTGTGGGGGAACAGGAACAGGTGCCTCCTTTCAGAGTTAGCCAGCCTCCCACTGGCGGTAGGGAAGCGTGACTGAGTGGAAATCATTAGAGTCCAGTGCACACGTGCAGTGAATGGATGTTGTCTGGCATTGACGTCCACGCACGCCCATTTGAGGGCTGCAGGAGTGAGAAGGACCGGCATGAAAGGAGAGTCCGTGAGGTGATGGCCGTCGGAACCTGGTGGTGGCTGTGTTGGGACTGCATGCAACGGGCTCCGAGCAGGCACACACTGGGAGTCAGGTCAGAGAGTTTTAGAGCATGGAATTCTGTATTGTGTTCAGAGAAGAAACTATTGCTCCCATTTTAAAAATCTTCCTGGAAGAGCTTGTAGGATAGAGTTTTGAATGAATGTCATGTGTACATGTAACTAATGGAATGAGTGTTTAGTCTTCTGCCTTGCATATCACACTGAGGTTTTTTTTTTCTTCTGCCATTGAAGGTTTTTTTGTTTTGTTTTGTTTATTTGGTGTGGTGAAAAAGCTAATTGTAGGTCTGGGAAACATTCAGGTCTCTGGAGTCCATGGGGGTAGGAGGTCATTGGGTCTGGTTGGAGGGTCTCAGGTTTCCTGTGGGTTGTCTCTGTGATCCTGAGGGCAGCCACATCGCCATACCCCAGGTGTGTGTCCTGTTTCAGGCCTGTGCTAAGCACTGTTTCAGGCCTGTTTCAGGCCTGTGATTTAGTGAATAAATGCTTTTAGGAATATCATTGATGGTAGCAATTAGTTCTTGCCCTCATTTTACTGATGAGAAAACCAAAGTTTAGAAGTCAGACATGGGATTTAAGTTGTGAGTTGTCTGACTCTAAAATCTACTCATGGGAAAAAGCCAATTTGGAGTCTTTGAATCTGAGACAGGATGTGAGGTCACTGTGCCTGAGACTCTGTCCCCTCGGGTGCTTGTCCCTTGTGCCCAGGGACGGCTGTGTGTTCAGTTGAGGACAGCAGCCTTCGGAGCAGGAGTGTCCTCTCCAGCCTGGGGTCCTGGAGAGGCTAACCTCTAATGAACACCCCCAAGCAATCCCCGTCGGGGCGCAGGGGTACGATGAGCAATGAGAGCGGGCGAGGTTCCTGGGCCTTGGAGCTGTGGTTTCACCTCCTGGTCTGGGAAGTCCAGAAGCCCTGCCTGGGAAGCCGTCTCAGGTTCAGCATTGTGGAGAGGTTGTCGTGGCGCTGTTGCTGCTTGTTCAGGATGTGCTGGTACAGAAGCAGCTGAGCCGCTGCACTGCCGGAGGGAGAGTAAGAGAATGGCAGGAACTGGAGAGGCTTGGGGGCCAGGAGGTTTCTTGGTCTTCTGCCCTGTCAAGAGGTTTTTGCGTTTACCGGGAAGGCAATAGGAAGGCAGTGCAATGGCCAGGAATGCAGCTGAGTTGGCCACTGGTCCCCAACTAACGCTTGAGGCCTGGGAAGTTGGCTCTTAGGAGCTGGTCCCTCTGTTGGGTGCAGTGTCCCTGCTGTCACAGAGCCCGCGGTACCCAGCCTCCATGTGCAGCTGGTTTGCAAAGACAGCAGCAGAGATATCCGCACAGAGAGCCGTGAGGAGCTACTCAAAGGACTAGCTCACTCTTTTTTTTTTTTAAAGGACTTTCTTTTTTGAAGGCAGACTTGCAGAGAGATGCATTGGTCTTTCAGTTGCTGATTGGCTTCCCAAATGGCTGAAGCAGCCTCAGCTGAGCTAATCTGAGCTTTTTCCAGGTCTCCCACGTGCATGCAGGGTTCCAACGTATTGAGCCATCCTCCACTCCCTCCCAGCCCACAAGCAGGGAGCTGGAGTGGAAGTGGAGCAGCCAGGACCTGAACCAGCCCCATATAGGATGTCATGCTTGGAAGTGGAGGATTTGCCAGTCGAGCCATTGCACTGGCCCCCAGCTCTTTCAGAATGGCCGAGAAGCTCCTGGTCCCTCTCGGTGACAGGCGGAAGGCTCCAGATTCTCAAGTGGTGTGTTCTTGACTTCTGATAAAGACAGAACAAGGAAAGCTGCTGTACTGCACATATTTAAGGAGTTACATTGATACTCAAGAAGTTAAATGTTTGAGGAGATGCAAATGCTATTTCCCCGATTTGATCATTGCACTTAATGTCTGTGTACAGAATTATGATGCAGTAGCATTGTATGAATAAATATGTACAGCTGACTGGTTCCCTCTGTTTATGGATTTTAAGAGGAAAAGCCTTTACTTCTTTCTCTTCATGGACGTTGAAAAGGTCTAACACAACCCAACATCCATTCCTGATAAAAGCACTTCTTAAAACAAGGTCAGTAGATTGGTTTATCGATATGAAGGGCAGAGAGGAGAGGACAGGGAGGGAGAGAGGTTGATTGCTCTCCCACCATCTGGTTCACTTCCCAAATGACTGCCATGCCGGGATTAGGCCAGGCCAAAGCCAGGAGCCGGTAACTCCATCCTGATCTCCCACATGGTTCCGGGGGCCCGAGCACTTGGGCTGTCCTCTACTTCCTTCTCAGTCCATTAGCAGGGAGCTCAATCTTAAGTGGTGCAACCAGAACCAGAACCAGCACTCCGGAGCGGGATGCCAGCATCACAAGCAGTGGCTTTATCCTGTCAACCCCAACAACACTTAATATGAGAACTGACTGATAATTCTGTAACGAGCTAAAATACACAGGTCTCAGTGCCGGAGGCAGTATCTCACTCCAGTACATCAGTAATAGTGGCAAAATGTTTCCTGTTGCTGCTGTTGGTTGACATATTTTGGTGATAATGGCCAGGGAGACAGAACGGAATTATTAGAAGTATGATAGTTAAAAATAGGGCCCGGTGTTATAGCCTAACAACTTAAATCCTCGCCTTGCATGTGCTGGATTTCCATATGTGCTCTGGTTCTATTCCTGGCAGCCACACTTCCCATCTAGCTTCCTGCTTGTGGCTTAGAAAAGCAGTGGAGGACGGCCTGGGGCTTTGGGACCCTGCACCCACTTGGGAGACTTAGAGGAAACTCCTGGCTCCTGGCTTTGGATCAGCTCAGCTCCAGCTTTGTGGTCTCTTGGGGTGTGAATCAGTAGGCAGAGGATCTTCCCTCTGTCTCTTCTCTTTGTGTATCTGCCATTCCAATAAAAATTAACTAACTCTAGTTTATTCTTAAAACTAGTTAAAAATAACAGCTTAAAGATATTAGCCATATTTGTCTTAATCTAAAATTTTAGATGTGATCACCGTGAGATATCAACAGTTTGTTTTTTAGAGCAATTTAATTCAATTTTGAAATCCATTTGAAAAATAAACAGGCAACAATAGTAGGGAAATTCTTGGAAAATGTAGAGCAACGAAGTAGAATTAATCCTATGTATTCTATAAATCCTCAATAATAAAACATGGCAAATTGGTTCAGGCTAGTGAATAGAAAATATTGGGTAACAAGAGAAAAATCTGGAAGTAACATCAGATTCCTATGAAATTTGTGCCTTGTAGCTTAAGGTACTGGGCAAAAATAGGGACTTTCCACTAAATGTGGATAAGACAAATGAATGCCTGATTGGAAATAAGTGAAAACCGAACCATACCTCATGCCGTACACAAGAATAAGCTTCAGATGTGTCGTAGATCTAAAAGTGAGACCCTGAGATCATACAGGTGCCATAAAAAATAGGTGAATTCCTTTATGTGGTTAAGTGGGGAAAGATTTTCTGAAGTCTGAGGGAAATCCACATACTCAGAGAGAGAAGGGTAAATTTGAACATATGAGGAAACTTCAGAAAGTAAAATTAAAAGTTGTGTGTCTTGGGCGTGGCAGTAGCTTAGTAGCTGAAGTCCTCGCCTTCATCCGCTGGGATTCCACTAGGAGTGCTGGTTCTAATCTCAGCTGCTCCACTTCCCATCTGCTCCCTACTTGTGGCCTGGGAAGCAGTGGAGGCTGGCCCAAAGCCTTGGGACCCTGCACCTATTTGGGAGAACTGGAAGATGCTCCTGGCTCCTGGCTTTAGATGGGCTCAGCTCTGGCTGTTGTGGCCACTTAGGGAGTGAAACAGCGGATGGAAGATATTTCCTCTCTGTATATCTGACTTTTAAATAAAAATAAATAAACCTAAACAGAAAAAATATTCTTAATAGTTGTGTCTCGGTGCTAAAATTATTGAAGACACCTAATAGTGTCTCGGTGCTAAAATTATTGAAATTCATATGTGGTCTTTTTCGTAGTACATGATCTCTTCTGAACTCTTTGAGCATCTCTCACATTAAAACAACCACATGGATTTCATGCTGGAAGGTCTTTGTATCAGTAAGGAAGATAGGCTCAGCTTTTGCTGTATGGGGATTTAACTATAAACAGAAATAATCTCCAGAATATCATCTCTGTGAACAGGGACTGTTTTGTTTGCTACTCTGAAACTCTCGGCCTCAGTGCTGCCTGACACTGACCTAGTAAGTAGGTAGTGAATGGGGTAAATCCGAGTCCATCCAGTGTGCCGAGCAGACATGCGCACTGTTGCGTCTGAGTCCTGTGCTCATCACAAGCCTGGGGAAGACATGGCTTGTTGCTTTCATTACTTAACTTCGTCCTAACGGATATTCTGCAAAGCCCTTCATGGAGTGCCTTTGGTTGGGGCCTCTGATTTAATAATCCCATTTGGGCCTGGGAGTCCACATTTACAACAAGCTTTGAAGGTGGCTAGGACCAGAGTAGCACGGGAACCACGTTTTTCATTGCAAGCCTTGTAGACAAGTACTTCCAAGTGTAACAAGAATACTCTGCATGCATAACCTTAGAAACTCTGAAATGGATTCCTGTGTGGTGCCATGTCACTGTGTGAGTTCATCGAAGCTTGTGGAATACTGTTTAAGTTAAACATGAACCTAACTCTAACCTGTTTGTGACCCTTGTTAGTAGTAGCTAGCCTTGTTCAGGGTCCCAGGGACTGAGGCCTTGCTTGCTGACACACATGTGGGATGGTCTGGATTGGAGTTCAGGGTGCAACCAGTAAGGCACAACTGGCTATTAACCACACCCTTCTGTTACAGACTCAGTCGGGGAATATTCAGAACACGGTGATGTTAGACAAGCAGAAGGAGCTTGACAACAAAGTCAGGAATGTGAAGGAGCAAGTGATGGTGAGTTTACAGCATCATTCTGGGACTGTTTCCAAGACCTTGTAGCTGAATCCAGTCTGAGTGGTGGAGAAGAAGGATTTTGCTGACGTTCCAAACAGTAAGTGAGCCAATTGGTAAGAGCAGTGATCAGATAGCTGGTGTTATAGTCCCTTTAATTTTGTAGTTCCAGGCACTGAACTTGGTAGTTTTCTTCCTCGCTAGATCCCGCGGTGTGTGTGTTGGCTTTGCCCCACTCTCCAGTGAACTAGGAGCCGCCACTCCAGGGGTCCCTCCTGTCCATGCCTCTCGGGTTGGGATTCCTGAGGTCATGTGAAGCCTCGGGACAAACGTTGCCTGTCCTCCTTAAGCACCTGCACTATTCAGACTCAGAAGAGGAACCAGAACATTTCCTGGAAAGACGTTCTGATACTTTTCTGGGTGAACTAAAGCATCCGTGAATTTTAAGACAGGACTTCCCCAGCAGTGGATGGACTCAGAAGGCTGCATGGGTACCCTTGTTGGCTTGTCCGCCTCTCCACAGCTGGGCTGTCTGGGAGGAAGACTGGGTTGCTCGGCTTCATAGGAGGCCTTCCTGGTGGGAAAGTCTTCCAGAAAACACATGTAGCTCTGCCCTGGGCCTGGGCCTGGACCCTTGGATGGCTGGCAGGGCCTGCACCGGTGTGTCTCAGGCAGCAACCTTGCTAACTGGATTCTTCCGGGGAAAAGCTTCAGTAAAGCAGAAGCCAGTAAGGCACAACTTGGAATGTCTGCAGCCTGTATTGGAACGGCTGGTTTAAGTCCCAGATTTTCTACTTGTGATCCGGCCTCCTGCCAATGTGCGTGCTGGGAAGAAGAGTATGTGAAAAAGGGACTAAACTGGGGAAAAGAAAATGATGCTTATTTGTAGGTGAGCTATATGCAATTGATTGTCCTGATTGGGAGCTTCTTGAGCAAATAAGAGAGTGATGTCATAGGTTATGCTCAGACAGCGGCATGAAGCAGGACTGACCCAGTTGCGCAGAGGTGTGGTCGCTCCGTTGCTGGGTGGCAGTGAGATTTCCCACGAACTCTTCTTTTCCTGGGAGCATCACAAGGAAAGTGTGAAATCAAGGTTCACAAATTGTGAGGAAGATTCAGAATTTAGACCATAGGACCAGGTGCGATGTGAAATCAGTATGTGTGTGTATTAAGGGATTAATACAGTAGATTCATCATGCAAATGCGTGATTGCTATATTATGGTTCTGATGTTAATTTGAGAATAATGTAGAGAGAGTAGAGTCAGTGTAGTTTATTGCTACAATGCTAAGAATGCCGTGTTGCTTCCCTTCCTTCCTCTGTCTGCCTTTGTTTCCTCTTGTAATGTTTGAGATATGTGTTTTTAATTTATATCCTAGTCAGAGACTAACGTCCACTAAACAGGATTAAGAAGTGAAAAGCCAAAAGATAATTCGAGAGGAAAATAGTCAAGGGCTGTAAGCCATAATCATATAAAAAGATGTCCATTTCATGCACTGTAAATTTGCTAAAAATCACAGATCTTTAAAGCTATATCTGTATACATTGATTACCACAAATAAATGAAAACATGGTGTTTTTCTTTTGAGGTCTATCTTATTTCACTTGGTATAATGATCTTCAGTTATATCCATTTTGCTGCAAATGTTAGCTGAGGTGTGAATCAACCTAAATATCCATTGTTGATCACTGGAAAAAGAAAATATGTATTATATATGTGTGTGTGTACGATATATAATGGAATATTACTCAGCTATAAGATCTTGTTTTTTTTTTTACTTGAAAGGCAAATAGGCAGGAGTAACTGCATACTTATTAATGAAATAAAAGTGATTGGTGCCATTATGTGGCATTTCAGATTATGCTATCCCCTGCAGCACCAGCATCTCATAGGGGAGCTGGTTTGAGTCTCAGCTGCTCTACTTCCGATCCAGCTCTCTGCTAGTACACCTAGGAGTAACAAAGGATGGCCTGGCTCCTGGGGACCCTGCACTGACGTGAGAGACCTGGAAGCCTGGGCCAGGCCTGGCCAGCCCTTGCAGCCATCTGGGGAGTCACCCAGAAGATGAAAGTCCTTACTCACTGTTTCTCCTTTTCCCTCTCTCTAATTCTGCCCTTTGAATAAACAACTTTTAAAAAAACGTTTCAAGTTTTATGTAAATGGTTGCAATTTCATGAGTGCAGTCTGTGAGGGGGCTGGAATTGCCTGCCTGTTTTCCTGGGTTCTGGAGGAGCAGTAACCTGCTGCTAAAAGACTTTGAAAGCTGACTGGTCAGTGACACACACGCGTTTATGTCGTTCTAGAACATAGAGCACGAAATCAAGACCCTAGAAGACTTGCAGGATGAATATGACTTCAAGTGCAAAACCTTGCAGAACCGAGGTGAGCGTTACTGCCGAGAGCAGCGTCCGGGAGCTGGGTTTGCTCTGCACTGTGGAGAGCAGGAATGACCGTGGCTTCACATTTGCCAAATGCTTTAGGCTCGATTACTTGGGTGGATTTCTTGATGGGCCAGGCCAGAGTTTCCTCACTTCAGGGCCAGCTGAGTCTCTTGGGGGGATTGTCCTGTGCCCTGAAGAAAGCTTGCCCTGTCCCCTCACACTTCCCGCCCCCCCAGGGGCAATGAGACACTGCTAGATGGATCTAGGGGTGTGGTGGAGACAGGAATTGGGGAGACCGCCTTCATGTGTCAGCTTGCTTAGGGCTATAGGTTAATAGGTATTTGGAAGTACCTACCCCAGATGCCTAAATTTCCTCTAAAAATCACAACTATGTATGTGCTGCCGAGAAGTATCGTTTTCTCATGTTTTAAAGCACTCCACTTTGTGCGGTTGCTTCTTCTGATAACACAACTGAAAATAAACTCAAACGGGTGCTGTCTACGATAGGAACTACTACTGGTAGCCAGTGAGCACTTGGTGGGTTAGGGTAAATGGGGAGGGATTATCTGGAAGATTAAGTGAAAAGTATCAGAGAAACCTCGGCCGCTGTTACCCAGTCATCCAGTTCTCTTCCAGAGTTATACATTGGCTTTATAGACATGTTTTTTTCTGAGATTTTGAATTTGTCATTTTTTAAAAAGCTTTATTTGTTTTCACTGGAAAGGCAGCTTTACAGAGATCTTCCATCCGCTGGTTCACACCTTCAATGGCCAAAACGGCCAGAGCTGAGCCAGTCTGAAGCCAGGAGTCAGGAGTTTCATCCAGGGTGCCAGGCCTTGGGCAGTCCTCCACTGTCCTTCCAGGCCACTAACAAGGAGCTAGATGGGAAGTGAAACATCCCGTGTACCAAACGGTGCCTTTATGGGATGCTGGTATTGGAGGTAGAGGAGTACCCAGTTGAGCTATTGTGCCAGCCCCTGATGTTGTCATTTGTATTCATTTAAGCAGTCTTCTGACAGTAGCTGATTAGTAGACAGTCCTATTTCCAATTACCCTGGGTCTCTGACAACACACACTGTATTCCAGTGTGTCTGGTTCCTATGCTCAGGGTGTTTCTGATTAGGCTCAGTAGAGATGGAAGCAGCACAGGTTGGTTGTCAGCTGTCTCCTGAGGGTATGTGGCTCTGGCTTTGATTGCTTTGTCATCTTCTGCACTTTGGCTCTTGTCACCTACCTGCTGTCTGTTTCAACCCACAGAGCATGAAGCCAACACCGTAGCCAAGAGTGACCAGAAGGAAGAGCAGCTGCAGCTGCAGAAGATGTTTTTGATGCTGGACAACAAGAGGAAGGTAGGGACTCACTGGCCACATGCAGCCTCTGCCCCAGTCTGTAAGCCACAGGTGGGGAGCACCCACCTCAGGGTGGAGCACCCACCTCACGGTCGGCTCCCAGCCCTGTGGGGAGATGCAGGACTCGGAATTGAGCAAGTCAGGCTGATTTTCAAGTTGATCATTTGTATGGCTTGCAAATGCTCTTAGAAGCATTTAAATGACCACCCTTGGCAGAAAGAGGTTCCTTAGCTCTGCGCTAAGTACTGCACTTGGCATTTATAACAGAAGAAAATGATCTTCATCACGGCTTGTCTTAGATGTAGTTGAGAGCAAGAAAATGTTTGCTCTGCTTTAAAAAAACACTTGTAGAGTTTAATTAAAAGTGAATGTGGTGGTTTTGTTTCCCTTTCCTTCCCCCACCCCCTCCTGCTTTAGGAAATAGTTCACAAAATCCGGGAGCTGCTGAATGCCACGGAGCTCACCCAGAATGCTCTGATTAACGACGAGCTGGTGGAGTGGAAGCGGAGACAGCAGAGCGCCTGCATCGGGGGCCCGCCCAACGCCTGCCTGGACCAGCTGCAGAACTGGTAAAGTGGTCTGGAGCGGAAGCCAGCTGGCTCGCCGAAGGCAGCTCTGGCCGAGTTAGGGCATTGGGCCCCTGCTGCTCAGGGCAGGAGTCTGCTGCAGTCTAGGCCTGCTTGCTCCGGAAACACTCACTTGGAAAGTACAGTGATGTTTGAGCCAGTCCAGATGGGGCCGCCTGCCTCTGGAGCGCCCCACCTGGCTGTACTAAAAAGCCAGGGATGGCTTCCTCACGGAACGCAAGCAGCGTTGCTTGTGGCAGCCAGAGAGGCCAGAGGAGCATTCCTGGCTCCCAGCAACTGGCGGGTGTGTTGTGGGCACTTACTTTGGTCCTCCCTTCAGGGGCTACTTGGGAAATCTCTCCTGGTTCCGCACACCATGTATGTCCACAAGGACAAAGAACACTGCTTGTGAACATACAGGGTGTAACGAGGAAGCAAACAGGGTAATAGGGTGTGTGGGGGCAGGTCGCAGGTGCTCTGTAGAAGTCCCTCAGAGTCCGGGCAGGGCCCCGGGGTGAGCTGAGGACGGCCTCACAGAGGATAGGGGATTGCAGAAGATGTCTTCCGGCCGGGGCTCAGGGGCTCCCTGGCTTCCTGCTTGTGCAACAGCCAGTGGTGGCAGGGCTGGAGAGAGGGCACCATGCAGGGGCAGGAGCAGGGAGCTGGTAGGAGATCCCACAGCCTGGCCCTGAGCTTACTCCCAAACTGGGGAGCAGGTACAGGCATTGCTGAAGCAGGGACTGTATTTCTCCTGGTTTTTATTTAGAAAGATCACAAAGACAGCATGAGAGAGAGAGAGAGCAGATGCAGCTGAGACCTTGTGAGCAAGCTAGTGGGGTCCACGTGAGGGACAGTGATGCTGGGCTCGGGATAACGTAGATGGGATGATGGAGAGCATAGAGGGGCTGAAGCCTGGGGCCTGTGCAGCAGGCCAGGACCTGAGGTCTCATGAGGTTGTTTCATAACATCATGCTGTAAATTTGTAAACATTCACAGCTAAATGTTCAGTCGTTTATTTTTAGAAAGGGAAGGAGAGCTCTCTTGTATCTACTGGGTTCGCTTCCCAAATGGCAGCACCAGCTGTTGCTGGGCCAGGTTGAGGCTGAGCCCCCCACATGGGTGCAGGACCCGGTACTTGAGCCATCGCCTGCTGCCTCACTGGGTTCCTGTTAGCAGGGAGCCAGATTTGGTAGTGGAGCCAGGACTTACCAGAAATTGTGCAAGGGGATGCTGGCATCCAAGCTCATATCTTTACCACTGTGCCTGACAGCCACCCCCAGCCATTTATTTTTATTCTCTGATTTGCCTGTATGTGCTCCAAATTCTCTGTGAGAGGTTCCCAGCCCACTGTGTCTCTATATGCCTTGGGAGACAGGGACCCCCCTACACCTTCCAGGTGGCCAGGGCAGCCCTTTGGTGTTTGGAGCCCCCTAGTGGTCACTCTATGTCACAGACGCCTCTTGCAATAACAGATGCACCCTCCAGGTCCCTGCCTGTGTTTTGTGCTCTGCCCTGGGCAGGGGTGGAAAATGTAGGGAAACCTCCTCCTTTGCAGCTCACTTCACCTTCACCCTCTCTGTCCCACTGCCTCTTGTTGTGAAGAAAGCCTGCATTCTCAGTCCTTGGAACTAGATTCAGGAGGATGAGGCCATGAAGATGTTTACTACTAAGAACATTTTGGTTTCTTAGTTTGTATCTGACAGGCAGAGAGGCAGGCAAAGTGCCCACTTGCCAGTCCCTTGCCACTTGGCCACAGCTGCAGGGGCGGAGCTGGGAGCTGAGTCCAGGGCTCCTGCAGGGGCAGCCGGAGCACGGCCACCTGAGCCATCACTGCTGCCCCGCGGGTCCACGGGAGCCAGCAACAGATCCAGGAGTCAAAGCCAGGCACACTGGTGGGCTGTGGAGACTCTCTTTTGTTTTCTTAATATACATTTTAAAAAGTATTTATTTTTTTATTTGAATGACAATGTTACAGAGGGTGAGCTCTGTCTACCAGATCACTCCTTAGACAGCCACAGAGGCCAGGGCTGGGGCAGGCCAAGGAACTGGGCTCTTCATCTGGGTCCCCCACGGGGGTAGTAGGTGCCCAAACACTTGACCGTCTTGGGCCCATAATAGAGAGCTGAATTGGAAATGAAGCAGACAGCTGGGATGCCAGTGTTGGAGGCAGCTTTGTCATCTAGGCCACAGGGCCACCTGTCGCAGGATGTAGACTGCTTGCGGAGTATCTTAATTTTTTTTAGATCAAATACCCACCCGTAGAAGGTGTTTCTAAAAGATTTTCTGTCCTTTCTCGGGAGAAAATAGTACTTCCAGATGCACCTGAGCACCGGGGCTGTGTTACCATTGGCAGCTGAATCTAAGAAATCTATAAACACTTGCTGGGTTCGCTTAGTGGCCCTGCAGTTTCTAGACATTGCTTTTGCCTTTTACTGAAGCAAAACTAGTGTTTGTTCTTTCTTCTACACTCTGCCCTAGGGCCCATCTGCCCTGTCTGCACTGCCCTGCAGCCTCAATGCTGCCCCTGCCTCGCACCGCACAGTGCCTCAGATGGTCCTGCCGCTCAGCATCCCATCACTGTCTCGCCATGAGACTCCTGGCAGCTCCTCCCTGCCTCTTGCATCCCCAAGGGAACCTGCCTGGCCCCTGTCTTTTCCTTTGCTCTGCACTTTTCTCTATTTTAACATATAAACTGAAAACTTGTACTTATTTTAATAATATTTGAAAGACAGAGAGAGAGAGATGTTCTATCTGCTGATTCACTCCCCAAATGCCCATTGTCACCAGGGCTGGTCCAGGCTGAAGCCAGGAGCTCGGATCCCAGTCCAGGGACTGAACCACTAGAGCATCACCTGCCATCTCTCAGGATGCTCAGTTGCAAAACCATGGATTGAAAGTAAAACCAGGCATGCCAGAATAGAATGCAGGTGTCCCAAGTACCAAACTTCTGCACTAAATACCCACTCTGATCTTACCCTTTTTATGTTTTACTTACTTATTTTCATCTTATTTAAAAGGCAGAAAAGGGGCCAGTGCCTTGGTGTTGCGAGCTAAGCCTCAGCCTGTATTGCTGGCATCCCAAATGGGCAGTGGTTCTAGTTCTGGGTGTTCTACTCCTGATCCAGCTTCCTGCTAATGTCCTGGGAAAATAGTGGAAGATGGCCTAAGTGCTTGGGCACCTGCAGCCCTCTGGGAGACTCAGAAGAAGCTCCTGGCTTTGGCCTGAGTCAGCTCTGCCGTTGCGGCCAGTTTGGAAGTGAATCAGCAGATAGAAGATCTCTGTTCTCTCGGCTTCTCTCTCTCTGCATATCTCTTCCTCCGTAACTTTCTCTTTCAGATAAATGTAAGAAATTTTTTATTAAAAAAAAAGGCAGAAAGAAAGATCTGGTTTGCTTCCGTAAATGCCTGCAATACCTGGGGCTTGGCCAGGCCAAAGCCATGGATAGGCCCAGAACGCCATCTCCAGATTCCAAATGCACGGCAGGGACACAGGTATTTGATCCCTTACATGCTGCCTCCCAGGGTGAGCTTTAGCAGGCTGTTGGATAGGAAGCAGGACCTTATCTCAAACTAGATGCTCCCCAGTAGCACCTTAACCATTGTGTACAATGTCTACCATAAAGGGGTGAGACTTCAAACGGAAGGACTTTAGAAAGTTCATAGAGAATACATATTACAGTTTTCAAATTATTACTTTTTTTTTTTTTTGCACTGAAATAAACTGACTTGTTAATTTCATTTTCCTGTGACCCTTTTGGAGTCTGTGTGTAGATGACTTAGAAGTCCTGCCCCATCCATGGCTCCCAGCCTGGGTCTCAGCAGTGTGGGAAGACTGGTCATTGAGTGTAGGGTTGTGTGTTCTTCGTACAGAACCAGCCTGCTGGATGCTGGCACGAGCCTGGTTCCCACCCCGTCTCCTGTAGTGCAGGCCGGGTGACTTCGGTGTTGCCCACAGCCCCCTGGGTTTCCATGATGCTCTTTAGCCAGGTGGCCTTGCAGCTGCTTCTGATTCAGATGCCTGTGTCTTGTACCTGTCCAGGTTCACCATAGTCGCAGAGAGTCTGCAGCAGGTTCGTCAGCAGCTCAAAAAGCTGGAGGAATTGGAGCAGAAATTTGCCTACGAGCATGACCCCATCACCAAAAACAAGCAGGCGTTGTGGGACCGTACCGTCAGTCTCTTCCAGCAGCTCATTCAGAGGTAACCCCGGGCACATTCGTTTACACCTGCTGTGATGAGTTTATCTGAAGTTCCTTGGTGGCAGCTGACTCTTCTGAACTCCTTGTGTGTGCCGCCTGCAGCTCAGGGCTGCAGTTGCCCGAGCTCGGAACTGTAGGAAAGTGTTGCTCCTCACTCCCCCAGCTCCCTCTGCGGGACCTGGAGCATCCAGCCTCGTGTTAGTCCTCCTCCCCCTGGCTTGTCACAGGTCAGGCTGACAGATCCTCCTGGAGGAGTTCTCTCGTGGTAGCTGCCGAGCAGTCTGCCTTCCCAGCCCTGAGATGTGGAGCTGCACTCCGTCCTCCTCCAGGGCAGGTCCCGAGGCAAGGAAAGCCCACAAGTGGGGCATCCGAAGTCCATCCTCCACAGCTGAGACCTGGTGGCCACCACACACATGCCTTCCACACTTGTCCCATATCCCAGCCCTCTTGCTGTTCTTAGGCTTGCAAGCACACTTCGTCACCACTCCTGGTGACCCTTCCTGTGGTTCATGGGTCCCTGCACCTGCTTTTGGGACCGTGTCCTCCGGAAGCTCTCACCATGAATCTTATTGCTTTAAATCTTGCTAGGGTCCCCAGGGCCTGGTTTTCTTTCCAAACTCTCAGAGCACGTTTCTTCTTCTGCTCTGAGTATATGATGACCTTTGCATTTGTCATCCTGTTGAAACGTGGAAGGTTCTAGAAGATAGACATTTATCAGTCACCCTTCTGCCCCTGCCAGGCCTACACAGTGGGCATTCCAGATATGCTTCATCCATGATCAGATGTCTCTGAAGGGAAGAACAGAGTTCACATTGTAAGGGTTTTTACTTTTTTATGGCAAAATGAGACCTTACTTACTATCTGTGGCTCCCTGTGGCTAATGGCCAACAGGAATGCCTGTGTGTTGGTTTCTGCACAGATTAAGGACTTCTACTTGAATTTGGGAATGAACTTTGATCCCTAACGCAGATGTGTAAATGAGCATAATCAAGCTCAGTTTTCACTGTTGAATAGTATCACAGGTCATTACAGTTACTGTGAATTCAGTTTCGGGGTTTCTGTAGATGAGCAAGCGGCACTGTGTTAGGCCCATTTCGCAGCTGCTCTCCAGTCTCCTCTTCAGGGAAGGTTGCTTGGTCTTGTGGAAGGGCTAATGTGTCTCCCTCTGCTGGGACCTGACAGCTCGTTCGTGGTGGAGAGGCAGCCTTGCATGCCAACTCATCCCCAGAGGCCGCTGGTCTTGAAGACGGGCGTCCAGTTCACCGTGAAGCTGAGGTAAGGAGAACGGGAGGCTGTTCCATGCACGACATGGTTTGCACCCCAACTTCCTTTTAGAGAGCTGCTATGCAAATAGGGTGCTTTGAGGGAAAAAAATGTTTAGTAGATGTTTTAGGCCAGCCAGGAATCTATTTTCCAGTCAAAATAGCGAGCATAAATAGAGATGTAACTGTGTGTGTGATATTTTTTTACGACTGCAGATGTTATGTATGTTCACGATGCAGAAGTCTTTGAAACTGCAGGGATGTGTATGTTAGAGAGCAGAAGTTTCCAGCAGCCTGACTGTTTTTTAGCATTGACTCGTGCCCCGAGCCCTGTGAGCCCCTGAGGCGCATGTCGTGTGTGGGATGTGGCTTTGCGACACAGACCTGTCTCTGGGTGGCTTCCCAGCTCTCAGCAGCTGAGAGCTGATGCCTGTGGTCTACCGCGCCAAGCAGCTAGTGTCTGTCCTCCCAGGATTTGGTCCATGTTTGCACAGATATCGAAATAAGTGTGAATGTGTTCCACACAGAGGCTAGATAAATAAATGGTATGTTTAAAGTGAGGAGTGTGCTGTAGAGGTTGTTTTTCTCCACTTACGGAGACGTTGCCATGTGAGAACACGTCGCTTTCATTGTGCCAACTGGCTGCTTTTGCTGTAGCTCTTCTCTGCTGATGAGCAGCCTGACCTGCAGAGCTGGGCTGGCCCTCGGGGTACACCTTGGTCCCTTCTGCCCGGGGGCTGCTTCCCTGGCACACAGTGGGACAGCACACTCTCCCAGCAGCAGGGGCGGTCAAGCCTAATCGCATGCACCTGCTGCGCTGAGTGCAGCATCCCGAGGTCCAGCCTCATGGCCCTGCCTCCCGTCTCTCCACGCAGGCGTGCAGTCGCATCAGACGGGCTCTGCCTTTTTCTGCTAGCTGTAATTTTCTCTCAGTAGGATAAACATAAGACGCAAGTTTTAGAATAAAAAAATCACTGTTTTTCACCTATCTAGAAGAACTCAAAGTAGAAATTTTTCCAAAACCCAGTGTTGGGTCAGATTATAAGGGCTTTTAAAAGGGTCCTGGAAATATATGTATTGGGGGACAAATGTGTGGATTTCAAGGTGTTTTGCACCAAAGTAAACTCGGCATTTTAATTCTGTGTGAATTGAAGTGGGTCATATTGTGACGTAAAGACTCTTCTTTTTCTTTCCAGGCTGCTGGTGAAATTGCAAGAGCTGAATTACAACCTGAAGGTCAAAGTGTTATTTGACAAGTAAGAAATGATTCATACTAGCCCAGATGCATGTGCCATCGAGGGGCTGCTGCTCGCAAGGTGGACTTCTCCAGGCCACCGCAGGTGTCTGCCACGCAGGGCAGCCTGAGCCCAGGGGCTGGCACTGTGGGGGCAAAGCAGAGGCCCCGCATAAGAGCCAGCAGGAGAGTGCAAAGACGTCCCAGGAACTCTGTCAGCACGCCTGTGCCTCTTTAGGTTGAGGAAAGCATGTCCGCGCTTGTGTTCCAGACCTATGAGACGGTGGTCATCAGGGCGTGGCCCTCCTCTGAGGCCACCCCACCCCCCCAGGGGAGAGGCCCTTGCTGGGACAAGCCACCACTCTTCAGTGAGGGGCTTGGCTTTGGAGTGGGAGCGGGCTGCCCAGGAGGAGGAGTGGGCTCCACACTGAGCAACCTCATGCCATTTTGCCCATGGTCCCTGGACCTGGACCTGGACCGACATGACCTACCAGTCATGTTTAGGAACCAGATGCCCCTCACCCAATCCTCAGACATACCTGGTTTTGTTAGCTGGTGTCACACACCTCCTAGGTTAGCAAGTTTCAGAATGACCTATAATCATTTAAAACAGCTCCACTGGCTTGATTTCATTTCACTTGCATAAGAATTGCTGCCCTGGTGGCTCAGTGTGTCTTTTTGCCTGCCTTCTTTCCTATCACTTCTCCCACTCTGTGGGGTGTGGGTGGCCCGTCTGGGCTGCACTGGCTCAGTGGCAGCAGGGTGGTCTGGCTGGGCTTACGGCTGCACACTCAGGAACAGGAATGGAGTCCTTCCCTGTGGGTCTCTCCAAGAGACCGGCCTGGGCTTTTTAAAGACACGATGGCCTTGTTTCCTTGTTTCTCCTGAGCAGGTGGGGCCCGTGCAGGCACTGTGCCTGCCTCCTCTGTGTGGGCGAATGCCAAACCATAAGCTGGTCATTTTTGGTCTCCTCTTATGCCACCAGCAGATAATTATTTGATCAGAGTATGACAAAGCGATCACCAAATTTATGTAAGGTGCAAGGTCTTTCAGCTTTTAATATCAGACTCGAAACCTGAACGTGGCAGTTTCCCCCCAGATAATTTATTCTAGCGGTTTGTGAGAGCGTTGGAGATATCAGAACCTGAAGTAAGGGCTGGGCTGTCAGGCTGGAAGGTCTAGGGGCTGTGTGGCAGTGGGGCAGGACTGTGTGTCGCTGGGCAGGGCTCAGCACGGGCCTTGTGTGAGGTCAGTAGTCACTTGATGAACACTGGCTTCCTGTGTGCTGTCGTCAGCCGTCGGCTGGTCTGCTCCTCCCAGCAGCCCGGAACATTGGTGCCGGCAGTGTGTAGTGCATGTGGGGGCGTGTAAGGCCGAGGCGGTGCCTTGATCCACCATCACTCAGTGACACACAGCCCGTCGCTGCATGGAGTGAGGGTGAAGGGCAGCGATCCTGCAGGAACTGGTCCGTTTGCTCTTTACCTGTTACGTACACACAATGTTATATTTTTGCAATGGCTTATTTCAAAGTGAACTGCCCACATAGGATTTTACATGTTTTTTTTTTTTTTTTTTTTTTTTTTTTGCAGAGATGTGAATGAGAGAAACACAGTGAAAGGGTATGTGTTGCCCTCGGCTCTGCCTTTTGCCATCTTTGCTTGTATTAGACGAGTCTCTGGCCTCTTCAGCTTTTCCACTCTTGTTATGTAGATTCAGGAAGTTCAACATCCTGGGCACGCACACGAAGGTGATGAACATGGAGGAGTCCACCAATGGGAGTCTGGCGGCCGAATTCCGACACCTGGTGGGGAACTGGTTTCTTTTCTTTTCTTCTTTTTTTTTTTTCATGGAATGAAAGAGAATATATATGTATGTATGTATGTATATATTTATTATTTTGGCTGTGCATATTCATACAGTGTGATAATTCAAAACATTCAATGTGTGAAGATCAAATGGAGTTAGTGTTTCCATCTTTACAAATTTAAATATTTCTGTTAATTGTACATGGTCTGGTGACGCTGGGACAAAGCATTAGGCATACTGGTCCAATCACAATTCAGTGTATACAGATCAGAGTTTCTCGCTGGAGTTTATCCTTACACTAGAGTAAAATATGCACACTTTTGGAATATACAAAGTCAAGTGTTTTCTCTCTTTGAAAAAGGCTAGATTTTATAAATAACTTTATTATAGAAAAAGAAGGAAAAAGGATCTTTTGTTGTGGTGCAACCCTGAAGAAAGATGCTTGTTCTAGACTGACTTCTCCTCCTGCCGCAGTGGGGACCCCTGAGTATTGAGCTGTGGGATGAGAAAGAGCAGGGACCATCCAGAGTAGAAACTGCTTTCATGCTCAGAAGTAGTCTGTGGCATCAATATCAGTCTCCTCCTTAGCTCCATTGAGTGCTAGGAGATGGCCCAGCAGCACTTTATTTAAAAAAAAAAAATTGAACCTAAATTCTGTAACCAATAATATGATCATTTGGAAAAAAGAACAAAGAAATGTAGCGTAGTGGTTAAGATGTTGCTTGGGTATCCACACGACATCATAGTGCCTGGGCTCAGATCCTGACTCCAGCTCCAATCCCACCCTGGGAGGCAGTGGCTGATGGGTCAGGCTCCCAGCTTGGGCCCAGTTCCTCTTCTTTGTGCCTGCTGCTTTGTGAAGATGCTTTGCGTAGGGCTGTGCCTGCGTCTCCAGTGACTGCAGTCTCTGTCACCTTTTGGAAGTGGAGGATGTCACCTAGAATGTGTGGCCCCTGGTCGGTAGCACTGAGCTAGCAGGGGTGCTGCAGGCAAGCTTGCCTTCCCCTGCTGCTGGAAAGGAGCTTCTGGGGGCCCCAAGGCTCTGCTCTCACGAAGCCCAGGTTCCGCTGAGCCCAGGGCTGCAATGAGGGTAAGGGCACCCTCTTCCATTGGTGGGCAGCATGTCAGCAGTTAGACTGCAGTGCTGGGCAGCTAGGTACTGGATGGGAGCCTGAGGGTGTTCCCAGCTGCACCAGGAGCACAGCCTGTCCCTGCAGCCCTGGGATAGAAGCCCACCTGAGGGCAGGCTTAGCTGGGGCAGTGAGTGGCTCATCCCAGCCTGGAAGACTGCTGGGGCAGGAGGAGGAACCTGCATCTGGGGGCATGCACCGGCTAATACAGACACGTGTGGATCGCACAGAGAAGGCTTGCACAGCAGAAGGGAGTGGAACATGATTCCGGGGCTTGTGTCCCACCGGTCCTGTGCTGTGTGCACCCCCAGGCTGCTGAGAGAGACTCCTTTCTGCACGCTGCAGGCCGTGCCACCTTCTCCTTTCAGTATATACTTTGACAAATGAGCACACCCATGTCATGATGATCATGAGGCTTACTCAGGTGTCATCTTGTTTTTGCAGCAACTGAAAGAACAGAAAAATGCTGGCAATCGAACTAATGAGGTGAGCCTTTCTCTGGATGGTGAATGGACCTTGGTCGGGAAGGTCTGTCCAGTAAAAGACAGTGGAGAGGACGGCGAACGGGTTTTGGATTTGGTGTGTCTGGCAGCAGTGGAAGCACTGTGCCCCCGTGCCCCGTGGTCATCAGATGGTTTTGCACACTGACGCATTTTACCCTTGCAGGCCCTGAGGAGCAGGCCTGGGGATAGGGTGTGTCGTTTGTCATTTGAAGCAGAAGACACAGTGGGTTTGCATCACAGTGGATTTGCAGGATTTAGCTGAAGGTGCACCAAGAATTCCGTCACAGCTGCAGTGAGGCCAGTATTAGGACTGCTGAGCTGGAGGTGCAGGGTCGTGGGGCCTCTCCTATCCAACAGTTTTTTTTGTAACCTGCCCCTTGAGCAGTTATGTTTGTGGTGCATTCCAAGGGGAGCCACAGGCCAAGAATCCAGTGTCCCAAGTTGTGTGGGTTTGGAGTGTGTGTTTGAACACATACGCCTGCTGTCCTGCCACTCACAGCCAGTAGAGGTCGCTGGAGCAATGAGGCGAAAGCTGGCCTGCTTAGAGCTGACACTTCTAGCCCGGCTGCACCCAGCTCCCAGTCTCTCAAAGCTGACATCCTTGAACTTGGCTGGTGCCCTTCTTGATGATGTGTCAGAGGCATTTCTAAGATTACATTTATCTCTCTCTTTAAAGATTTATTTATTTGAAAAATATAATTCCAGAGAGAAAGGAAGAGATTCTTCCATTCACTGGTTCACTCCCTACAGGGCCATACCAGCTCACATGAGTGGGCCGTCTTCCCCGCCTTTTCCAGGCAGAGGAGCAGGAAGTTGGATCCAGAAGCGCACCAACAGGAACTTGAGCTGGCACTCCTACAGGATGCTGGCATTGCAGGCAGCAGCTTAGCATGCTGCACATTTCTGCTGCAACCCACACATTTTCTCATCTGCCATCCTTGCACAGAGCCACCCAAAGCCCCTCCCCCGTGGCACATGCTTGCCTCTGCTGTTGCAGCCTGCACGGATGGGGTCGTGGCCAGGTGGCCAGGGGCAGGTTGCCAGGCAGGGTTAGCCAAGTCACAAAGAAGTCCAGTGGTTGCTGCTGTTTCCCGCTTGGTGTTTCCTAACTCACCATCATTTCAGAACCCCCCCTCCTTTTTTTTTTTTTTAGAAAGTTGTAATAGTGAGATCTGGGGGAGAGCACAGGCTCTCGCGCCTTCCTAGATGCAGCTGGTTGGGTCCGGGGTCTCTGCCGCTTGGTGCGGTGCTTACTACTTGGGGCTCCTGCCACGCTGGATCAGCCAGTTGCTATTTGTGCTCTCTCTTTTCAGGGCCCTCTCATTGTAACCGAAGAGCTCCATTCCTTGAGTTTTGAAACCCAGCTGTGCCAGCCTGGCTTGGTCATTGACCTGGAGGTGAGACCCACAGGGCCCCAGATGGGAGGCTTTTGTTGTCACTCCCTTTACCTATATTTGTATTTCCCGGTTGTTAAGGGTACAGGGGTACTTCAAAAAGGTTATAGAAAATGGAATTTAAAAATGTTGCATTTGGTGAAAAAATTTTGAAACCCATGCATGGGCTCTTCCTAGCATTGAATTCCTGTGAACTTTTTGAAGACTCTTTGGTTTGGCTTTAAAAAAAAAAATACGTTCTCCACCTAATACTGTCTTGATATTTACTGAAAGCTAGAGAACTGAATTCGCCTTCAGAGTCTAAATACTAAATTGAAATAGCCTGTGTTAATTATTTTTATAAAGCATGGAGATTTCTGCAAGATATTGTTAAAGAAAAAATAAACTGCCAGCAGCAGAGCACAGAGCTGTGATTTCAGTGCCGATCCGGCAGTAATGCCTGCTGCTTTGAGAAGATGCTGTGTGTAGGGCAGCGCCTGCATCTCCAGTGACTGCCGTCTCTCTGTCCCCTTGCAGACCACCTCCCTGCCACTCGTGGTGATCTCCAACGTCAGCCAGCTCCCGAGCGGGTGGGCATCCATCCTGTGGTACAACATGCTGGTGGCAGAGCCTAGGGTACGTCTCACACATCCACTGTCCTACCATCAGTAAACCGGAGACTCCCGTGCTGATGCTGCTGCATGTCTACTCTGGCCCCCTGGCGGCCGGGCATTGAGGGAGGAGAGACAGACTCGTGGCATTGCTAGGGAGCCTCAGGAATTCTGGGTGGATGACACCTGTGGGTATATGAGAGATGAGCCTTGTGAGTTTCCTCTCACGGGCAAAGTCAGGCAGCCGGGGACTTGTTAGCGCCTCTGTCACAGTGGAGGCCCTTTATTGTCATTTGTTTTCAGAGACAGTAGCAGCTGCACACACATGCTGCACCCCCGGAACGTGTGTTCTCATAGCTGTTCCCTGGATCCATGCTCCTTGCCCAGTGAACCATGTTCTGTGGAGTCAACAGGGGGACTTGGCCAGTAAATCCTGCCGCCTAGCTCCCTGGGGTAAATGGAGAGACATTCTGCCAACGTGTTAGTTGATGATCTTGTTTTTGTGTGTTTATGATGGAAGGTGCATTAGTTTTGGCTGATTGGTTGACTTTAACCTGACAGCCAGTAATGGTGTAAGTCATGACTGCATGCAGCTCCCGGCCATGTGATGGCATGTTCTCGCTGTGAGACATGTCACAGCCTTTGTGCACATAGGGACATTGGACACTTGTATGCCATTGTACTCAAATAGATGGCCCAGGAATGTCACCAAACCGCAGGGGACCCTTGGACTGTGGCTTCTGCTCAGCCTCCATGGGGAACATGAGCAGGAGAAGCTCAGGTGACTTGCTGTCCTCTGCAGAGACCTGTCCTCGGAGGGCTGGGAAAGGGCCATGAGTGTGGATTACACATGGTTACATGTCAGGTCGAGTGAGTCCCCGGGCCCACAGCTCTCCTGGCGAGGACTGTGCCTGAATTGGGTCTATGTTATGTCTTGCTGGGGCTGCAGGCTGTGCCGTAACCCCTGCGTTGTGGGTGTCTCCTCTGCAGAATCTGTCCTTCTTCCTGAACCCACCGTGCGCACGATGGTCGCAGCTCTCAGAAGTGCTGAGCTGGCAGTTCTCCTCCATCACCAAGAGAGGGCTCAACGGGGATCAGCTGAGCATGCTGGGAGAGAAGCTTCTCGGTACGAGCAGCCCACCTTTCACAGCTCTGCAGACCGGAATGTGGGGCGGTGTTGGCTCACTGTCTCTCCTCCCCCTCCGCTTTGTGACAGGTGGAAGAGGGTTAAACTTAGTTGGCTTTTTAAGCTGCTGTGTGTTTTAGCTGAGTCTCACGCCTCCCTTGCAAAGCACTGCAGACCTGATAGAAGACTGAAATGAATACTTTTCTCGTCTCCTACTAATATTTCTGAGAACCGTTCCTAAGGGAAGGCTTTGGAAATATGTGAGACATGTTGTTTGTGGCTAGGTTCCTTGGTAAGAAAGATGAAGTCTTACCAACTTTTAGAAGAAAAAAAACTTTGTTCTGGTGTAATCAGAACAAGGTGTTAGGTGCTGCCCACCACAAGGATCCACCCAAGGCTCCCGTGTCAGATGGACACACTGACCACTCCAGGAGACAGGCCTGTGCCTGCCTGCACAGGGTGCGCGGAGTGCGGGCCCTGCCAGACAATTTTGTTCAGGTCTCTTGAGGAACGAGAGGATCTGAACTGATTATTGAAAAATCAGGGGAACTTTTACCCAGACATGCTTTCTGTGCTTACACGGCCCATCCCAATAGGCCCTCCCTAACCAGTGGCCCTCGACAGAGCCTCCTCCACTCTCTGCTGTCTCAGCGGGAATCATGTGCTAGCTAGTCCAAAAGTCACACCTTCCTCCACCTCCCTGTGTGGTGAGCCTGGACAAAGCTGGCTTTCCTGTCTGGAGTGGCTTCTTTGCAGTTCTCAGGGAGAGGGTATGGGCTCGCCCCTGTCCCCAGCCTGGATGGCTGTGGTTTGTGGAACTGGTGACCCCTTCTCAGGCCTCTGGCTGGGCCCACTCCTGGAGCATGTCCTACTTAGAGGAGGTCTGAGGGTAGTGCATCTGTAATGGCCAGCAGAAGGACCATTTTGGTCACCGAGGGGTGCTCTTGGTCTTAGGTGGAACTCGGAAAAGAGCATGTAGAGTCTTTGGCAGTGAGAACTCAGCTGTGGAAGTGGGTGCAGGCAGCCGGAGATGAGACCAAGCAGGGGACCAGATGGAGGCCCCTCGAGGAAGCATGGCATGGAGGCTGTAGTTGAATGCCGAAGGCAGAGCTGGCTGGTGGTCTTGGGAGGGGATGTGACGGAAGGCAGAAGTAAAAATTGTCCTGTCTTCACAAGAGAAGGAGGGACAAAGGCAACTGGCCAGTGAGGAAGCAGCTGATAATGAGGCATCGTGAGGTTTCTGCTTTCCATAAAAATGTGCATATCGTGGTACCCAGTAGTCTGCTTTTCATGCTTCATGGACTGCTGTGTCCCATCTAAGGGGGCCTACATTCAGTTCTAGCTCCCTGCTAATGTGCACGAGGCAGCAGTGATGGCTCAGATAATTGGGAAACCAGAGTGGGTTCCCAGCTCTTAGGATTGGCCAGGCCTTTTGAATGAATTCATCAAAAGTTGAAACCAAGCCCTTGTATGTGTTTTCAGGCCATTTTCTGTGTAAGGCCCTGTGTGGGGTGTTACTCTCTCCTGTGAAAACAAGCACAGGAGCCCTAAGCCCCAGGGCAGCTGCAGACTTGCACTTTTTTTTTTTTGCTGACAAAGCCTGTTTATATTTGTTTAGGTCCCAGTGCTGGCCTCGATGGTCTCATTCCGTGGACGAGATTTTGCAAGGTGAGCACTGTGTCTTGCACTCTGTGGAGGTCGTTACTAAACGGGTTGCTTATCTTGGCGGGTTCACATCCCACCCGCAGAGCCCCAGGGGCATGCTGTTTATTTTCACCCCCACAGCGCAGGAGGCTGGTGGACAGGAAGCACCTGCCTGAGTGATAACATTTTTTCACATCCGAAGCGAGCCTCCTGTCGGCTCGTGCCAGCCCCCGCTCAGTAGCATTCAGGCCTGTCGATGAGAACTGTGTTGTGTGGGCTGCCCGAGTTTCCCCAGTGTCCTCCAGCCAAAGGGCTGGTGGTCCCTGCTGGAATCACCAGCCACGTGGCCTGTCAGCTGTCCCGGCCCTTCTGACAGTTAGAGCAGCTTGTGTTTCTTCACACTCCAGAGGTCATCTCCAGTTGTTTGGTGACCATGTGGGAGGGGAGCAGATCCCAGCTGAGGGGAAGCAGAGAGCTCCGGGTTCCGGTGCTGCTAGGAGGGGAGAACCACTGACGTCACTGCCTCATCAGTGATGCTGGGGTCTCTTGAGGCCAGAGCTGGCCAGGGCCGCGTTGCAAAGACAAGTTCAGTGGTGGGAGGGCCATGGTTGTCACTGCTTTGGATTACATGGTTCTTAACATGTACATTTGTGCACTTTCAGGAAAATATAAGTGACAAAAATTTCTCCTTCTGGCTGTGGATTGAAAACATCCTAGAGCTCATTAAAAAGCACCTGCTGTCTCTGTGGAATGACGGGTAAGGACCCCCAGCACCCCCACAATGATGGTAAGGACCTCCCAACACTGTCACAATGACATATAAGAACCCCTCAACACCCACACAATGATGGTAAGGAACCCTCAACACCCCCACAATGACGGGTAAGGACCCCCAGCATCTTCACAAGGATGGGTAAGGACCCCTAGCATCCCCCACAATGATGGGTAAGAACCCCCAGCACCCCCACAGTGATGGTAAGGACCCCCCAGCAGCCCCCACAATGATGGGTAAGGACCCCTCCCAGCACCTCCCACAATGATGGGTAAGAACCCCCAGCACCCCCAAATGATGGGTAAGGACCCCCCTAGCACCCCCAGCCCCTCACCTACCCCGTGGACATTCCCTGGAAGCCTGCTCATCGTGCAGCTGAGATGTGACCCGAACCAGCATCTGGTGCTGCCCATGGTCTGTGTGCAGAATGACCCTCACGGGCTTAAACTTCATGTATGAGAGGGACTTCAGACGACTGTGGGACAGTGGGTTCCAAAAGCTGCCTTGATTTTTGTGCAGAAAAACTTAAGTGGAAAACTTATAGTTTTTTCTATGCTATAGCGAAAGTATAAAGTGTGAAAAAGCTATGCATGAATTTTAAGTTATTTTTGTACTAACATAAACTCATAATTTAGATTCTCCTCTTGTCCATGATTATCAAGCATGTGTAATGAAAGTTTGAGTTTTAGGCGCCTACCATATTGCCCTGGGAAAGAAGGACAAGCCCTTCTTAATGTGACAAATGTTTGTTTATCTTATTCTCAGGATCAGCTATATTTTAGTAAAAACTTTCATCAAAAGTTCCCAAATATCGCAATGTAGTAGTCTTCCTCTTTGGTTAAGAGGTATGTACATTGAGGCATTTTCGTGCTGTTCACAGCACCAAGTGGTGAAAAAGGCTCGTGCCTCCAGCAGGTGCTTGTCCAGCATCTGTACTGCCCAATGATGCCAAGCTCATGGTGCATTTTCTTTTTTATGTTAGTGTAGCCACGCATAAGTGAAAGGCTCCCTCAGATGTGAAAGACCTTTAAGATTTACCCATGGGTTTCCATTTTTGGTACTCGGGTCAAGTCCCCGTCATGTTGTTGTTAACGTGACCACCAAAGCTGTGATCCAACTACAGAGGTCCTCCGTCCACCTCTGCCCATCCAGGTGCATCATGGGCTTCATCAGCAAGGAGCGAGAGCGTGCACTGCTGAAGGACCAGCAACCTGGCACATTCCTGCTGCGGTTCAGCGAGAGCAGCCGCGAAGGGGCCATTACATTCACATGGGTGGAGCGGTCCCAGAACGGAGGTGGTGAGTGAAGGGCGCGTTGAACACATGTGCCCGGGTGTCACCCGTGTGTGAAACCCCTCTGCTTCACTGCAGGTCAGCTCCGGGGACAGTGAGCTTACCCAACAGAGTCCCCCAGGTGCAGTGTCTTAGACCACTGAATTCAGGGGGTTCCCTGCCTGGGACTATTATGAAAGCAATGGTCTTCTAAAAGACAAGGTCAAATCCTTTCCTTTTTGTCCAGTTCGATATCTATGGATCAAGGATGTGAGTCAATATAATCTGCAGCCAGTCCTTGAAAGGAGTTGCGTTTCCCACACATGTAAGCTCCCATGCAGGCTTAGTCTAACCCTGGAGTGGAGAGTGCAGATGAAGACAAGTGTTGTGTGGGGAGCCCACTGGTGACTGATGTGCCCTGCGCTGGAGTGGTGGTCAGGGGCTTGCAGGACGAGCTGCAGCCACCCAGCCTTGACCTCAGAGCAGCTATGACCTACCCCTGCTCATGAACTGGCTATAACAGTCCTTAGCTGAACGGCTGCACAAACCTTGGTCTCATAAAGCAGGTGTCTGAGGATGACACTGAACAGCAAAGATGGAAACTTGAAACAACCGGATGGTTGATGTCAGTCTTTGCAGTTTGAAACCCAAAGGAAGAGCTGGTTTGTGCCAGGGACTTTTATGCTGTCATTGGGGAGATGTGACAAGATGGGGTTCTTTTTTTCTTTTTCTGCATAATTTTTCCTCTGGGATAAAGGCAGGGAGCCGGGATCAGAGCGTGGTGGAGGCAGATGTAGCAGTGTGCCCTTCTCCTCTTCTCTCTGATGCTTCATTTTCTGACCCAGCTGAGAGGTGAAGCTAGCAAACCAATGAAAGTAGAAAAACCGTTGATGTGGACTTTAATAGGTACTTACTATGACCCTTTGTCCAGATTTATAAAACTAAGCAAAGAGGGAGACGTGCAGTGTTACTGACAGTCCGCTATGCCCGTTAGCTCATATCAGGTTGAATCAGAACCATCAACAGTAGTATTCTATATTTCAGGAGACTTACTTAACTCGTCTCCTTTTTAGAACCGTATTTCCACGCAGTTGAACCATACACGAAGAAAGAGCTTTCTGCTGTTACTTTCCCTGATATCATCCGCAATTACAAAGTCATGGCTGCTGAGAATATTCCAGAAAACCCCCTGAAGTACCTGTATCCAAACATTGACAAAGACCATGCCTTTGGGAAGTATTACTCCAGGCCAAAGGAAGGTAAGTGGGGTAGCGGGGAGGGCAGTCCTCGTCCTTGGGACGTGGCGTTGGGCAGGTGTCCCTGGTGGCGAAGAGCTCGTTGCCGCGGTGGGCTGTAGTGAGCTGCGTTGGCCAGCACTTCTAATCAAGGGGAAGGCGCTAGCCAGCACAGCTCCAGCCAGTCCAAAATGCCACCCACCTCCTCTCTTTGAAATGATAAAGGGTGCTGTGAGCTCGGTACTGTTGAAATATAGGACATTATTTGGTCTGGTACATTTAGTGAGAAATGAGTGGGAAATTTTCTATATTAGGAGTGTTGCAAATGTCCATTTCTGGTGTGTGCGTTTGTTACACATCACAGTCGCTGCATGGAAAGGAGTGAAGGGGAGGAAATGTAGCCAACCAGTTTACACCTGCTTGCTTGTGCTGCATTTGAGGAGGTGGAGGTCTAAGGGAAGTGAGTTAGTTACCAGATGGTTCATTATTACTGAGTTTCTTCAAGGAGAGGCCTTGTCCTCAGACTCGGATCTCTTTCCACAGTTGTCACTGAACTACTTAGACCAGCCTGGTTTGGAACACGCTAACAAAATGAAAAGGTTTTTGGAATCAGACATGTCTGTTAGGACAGGGCCCAGTGCAAGAGCCCAGGGGCTAAATCCTCACCTTCCACATGCCAGAATCCCATAGAAGTGCTGGTTTGTGTCCTGGTTGCTCCACTTCCCATGCAGCTCCCTGCTTGTTGCCTTAAAAAGCAGTAGGGGACAGCCCAAAGCCTTGGGACCCTGTGTTCGCATGGGAGACTTGGAAGACACTCCTAGCTACTGGCTTTGGATCCGCTTAGCTCCAAGCATTATGGCCACTTGGGGAGTGAATCAGCAGACAGAATATCTTTCTCTCTGTCTCTCCTTCTCTGTGTAAATCTGCCTTTCCAATAAAATAAATTAAAAAATATATTAGGCCAGAGGACGGTTATTTTGGAAGGAAGATGCTGCCTAGATGGCTGTGGATATTCTGTCCACCAGGCTAGCATCGCTGAATCAGAGCAAACTTTGTGTAGTTGAGGGCTCTGGCACTTTGGTGGGCTTTAACCCTTGGGAAGAGCTAGCTCCCAGTCAGTCTCTTGCTGAGACCTCCCCTCCCCCATTCCATTCTCTTCTGGAGGTTTCTGTGTTTTCAGCAGTGTCAGGTGAGCTGGCAGGGAGACCGTCTCCCTGGAAACTTACAGAACTCTCAGTTGTAAAGAACCTCAGTTTTAGTATGTGAACAGTTGGTCTGTCCTTGGGTGATTTTTTAGAATCTGAAGTATGTGTAATGTGTTTGCTCCTAGCCGCAGAACCGATGGAACTTGACGGCCCCAAAGGGACTGGCTACATCAAGACTGAGTTGATTTCTGTGTCTGAAGTGTAAGTGCACGCAGAAGAGTGGCATGTTTAAAACCCCGGGCCAGCCTTGCTCCCGCCTGGGGCCTTCTCAAGATGCATGTATTTCGCCTTTCCATTAAAATTGCTATCGCCCTCACAGGTGGACTTGTTGGAAAGATCCTAAATAGAGATCCCAGTGTCACTGGTTCCCAGCATTTTACTGCCTTAAAAAGCAAACAGACCAAAAAAGTTGTATTTAAGGTATATAAGTTCTCCCAAAACGAATCCTTTGAAAAAGTATAAATAAAAATAAACGAAAAATTGATCAGAGTGGCAAAGTAGTTCTTTTCAACCTGGAAAAGGACAAAGTTCAATGATTGAGATACATTTTCCTCTGCTTGCTTTTATTTTGTTGTTTCATTTTGTATAAGGCAGAAAAAAAAATTGGAAAAGTCCTGGTCAATTATTTGGCCGGCAGCACTGGCTTGTGGGGTGAATGGATGTGTAGCCTTCATGTAAAACCACTCTGTGGAGCAGCTTTCTCTGCATTCAGACCTCAAGGTAGGGACAAGGGACTCCCCAGAAACTCCCCTGGTGCTTTTCGGTCCAGGGTCAACCCCGAGGCATGGTCATCTCAGGGTGACGTGGCGTCTGCTGACCCTGAGGTGTACAGCGGCACAGGCAGCCCAGGCTCCAGGCTGGCCACGGCTCCCTCACCTCTCCGGAGTCGAATACGTTTCTCCAAGGGGCCGGGCTGGGCACATCACCTCCCCTGCCGTGTACTTCGGCAGATGTGTGGTTGATGCATATGTGCTTACCCGAAATAAAAATGCAGAGTGCTGGTCCCAGCTCAGAGAAGACAGGCACGTGCGTTCACCCTCGCCTCTCGTTTCGACATTAACATTTGCCTCTCCTCTCTCCTGTTGTAGTCACCCTTCTAGACTTCAGAGCACAGAGAACCTGCTGCCCATGTCTCCCGAGGAGTTTGATGAGGTGGCTCGGATAATGGGGCCCGTAGAACTGGACAACATGGTGAGTACCGCGTGGGCGTGCCCACACCCCTGCCCACCATGTAGCCCTGGGGGAGTTGTGGTCCTGGCATAGTGCCTTTCCCAGAACCTCAGTGGTGCCTCCACGTTTGTCTCTCTGCCTGTCGAGGCTCTCCCTGCAGAAAGGCTGCCTCATGGGCGCAGCGCCCTTCGCTTGTGCTGCTCATGGGGTCCTTAAGCAGTACCGGGGAAGATGCTCCTGGGGTCCCACCTGGTCAGCAGTAGTGGGGACACCTTGGCTGCCAGGCATCTGAGAGTTGTGCAGGGGCAAGAGAGTCAAGGACCAGAGCAGCTGATGACTGACCGGGGAGAAACAGGAATGCAAGAAAGACTGAGCATTTTTACAAGTAGTCTAGCAGGTGGTAGCTTTTGCCCCAGGGCTGGAGGTCTGGCCTCAGGCAAGGTTCTGTTGGCTTGACTGAGGTTTTGCTGCTGTGGCTTCATCCTAAACAGTCACCCACGCACCCAGAGCTCTCCCAGTTGGCTCGGAGACATCCGGCCTCTGCTGTCACAGCAGTCTCCTCTCCGAGTCCCCACTGCCCTGCCTCCCTCACCGCGCACCTGGTCCCCTGCAAAGACTGCACTCAGTGGTGCCATGGGAAAGCCAGGAGGGGAGGCGAGGGTAGGGGTGGTACAGCCCAGTGCTGGTGACACCTGCCCATGCCCAGAGGAGGAGTGAGGTGTTTAGAAAGCACGCAGCTCGTGTGACAGTAAATTGTGTTCTTATCTGCCTGGGTACACTGGGCTCGCTCTCCATGGAAGAATGCGTCCTCTGCAGAGATGTGGTTTCCAGCACTTTTAAGCCTGGTACAAAAACGCAGCCAGTGTGAAGGCCGCTGCCTGTGGGGTTTGTGAGCAAGCTGGGGTCAACAGCCCTGATAGCTGGCCGTGTGTGAGTACTGGCTGTGGGCGGGGCATGGTGTGGGCAGTGACGTGCCAGGTCCTCACCATAGTTGGCCAAGTCGGCCATGCCTGCTGTTCCCGTGTTCCCAGATGAGCCACCTCACCTCGTCCCTTGTGTAACTTGGCTTTGAGTCATGGTAAGTGAGAGGAAGATGGTTTGTACCTGGCCCGTGAGAACCTGCAGGACCTGCTCTGCCCACTGCCCTAGGCAGCCTCCCAGAAAAGGCTGATCATTGCTGCACTTGGGGTGTGTGCCCCGTGGAAGCTGTCTACGCTCAGATCCAGTGTCTGGTTCTGACTATCAGGAGGCAGCGTGGCTAGCGGACTGGAGGCCTGTGGGAGGATTTGGCGGTCAGAGTTCCAACTGTCATCACCATTATTCCCCTCTGACCTTGAGAAAGTAAGATGGATTAGTTCTCAGCAGTGGGGGCTGCTCATGATGATGCTGTGAGAATTCGCTGTCAGGAAATGGCCTTGTGCTCTTTGGCTGTACCTCCTGGTAGCCATTCCATTCTGAATGATGGCATTCATTTCATTTGCAGAGTAAAGCAGGTCTTTTGCACTGCACATACACACCGCTGAATGAATAAACTCACAGAAGATCTCAAAAGCCGTATGAGGCTGTCGCATATAGGCATAGCACTGGCTAGACAAAATGCGAGCTGGCTCTCATCCCTAACCTAGGTTGACAGCACCATAGTGTGCTCTGTCTGCAGTCATGACCATGGCTTCCATTCAACACCCACTGCTGGAACTGGGACATCTGCCCTGAGAGAACCAGCTCTCCAGGTGAGCTGGGCCCCACCAAGCCTGCAGGTTGCAGCCCTGGGCTTGGGGGGCACCAGGAGTGACTCTGGCTGCAGCCTCAGGAATCATAGACCAGATTCTCAAGGAAGTTGTCCAGGAGAATCCAAGTGCTGTGTTTTCTGTAACCTGTGGGTTTCTGTACAGTTCACTTGCCTTCTGAACTGTGATGGAACAGTCTAACTGCCCTGGAAGCCTTTGGCCAGAGCTCACAAAAATAGGATGATTTATTCATTGTCTGCTACTTTGACATTGTTATCCAGGCTAATGTAATGGAACAGACCTATCTGCTAGGTACTGCCGGCCTCCCTCTGACAGACCTTGTGTCTTAGAATGTTGAAGTGGTCACATAATGACAAGCCATGGGGCAAGGCTCGTGCCAGAGTCAACCGTCTGAGTTACATGTGTCCCGCAGGATGGATAGGAGCATGCAGGTGCACTGCTCACCATGCTTTTCCTGCCACAGTACTTCTCCCAAGATTCCCCCCGAAGTGCTTGGGATTGAGCAGAGCTCTGGAGAGGCTCTACAGTGGGTGTCTATGTCTCTGCCCCAGGACTGCTGTTCCTTGGGTCTGGGGGTCTCTTTGTGGTGGGGCTGTCCCTAACCTGTCCCCAGTAGCTGTCAACCCCTCCACCTCCACAGCCGGTCATCACCATCAGAAATGGCTGTGGGCACGGCTGGGCCCGGAATCGTCCTCAGCTGTCCATGTGTAGTTTCAGGAGAGAGGCCAGCAGGGGGCTCAGATAGGAAGTCAGGGAGAGGCTGGTGTTCCTGGCGCCATCTGCTCATCACATGGTGCTCTATTTTGGACAGCGTGCCAGAAGGCATTGGCTGGAGAGATGCAGAGGTGGTTAAAGATAATCTGCATCTCGTGGGGCTAGCCCCAGCATCCCACGTGGGCGCTAGTTCGTGTCCCAGCTGCTCCTCTTTGAATCCAATTCCCAGCTTATGAGCTGGGAAAGCAAATGAAGATGGTTCTCATGACCTTGGGTCCCTGCAGCCACATGGGAGACCTAGATAAAGCTCCTGGCTTTGGATAGGCTCAGCTTGGCCATCATGGTCATTTGGGGAATGAACCAGCAAGTGGGAGATCTCTGTCCATCTCTCCTCTCTGTAACCCCCTGCCTTTCAAATGAACATAAATTTCTTTAAAAAAAAAAAAAAGACTTATCTGTTTCTGAAGCATGTTGAACATCATTTACTTTACCTCTTGAGCGACCTTTAAGGGAAATGGATCATTTCCCTCCTGTCTCTCCCTCTGGCTTACAGCTCAGTGAAGCCTCCCCCTTGTTTTCCATGAGCAGATTTGCTACGTTGCTGTGTCCCCAGACTTGCATAACAGCAAAAAGCTTTATGCAGCCTGGATGGATTCACAGAATTAACCCAGGCAAGCTGTAGAGTAGTAATCCACCAGCTTAGGTGAGATAAAAGGTCTTGATTAGTCCAGGAAAACGGGTAGTGTGTGCTATGGGCTTTAATAATAACACGGCCCAGGGTGGTACTTTGCTGTGCAAAGTCTATTCCTATTGCTGCATTCTAGAATGGCTAAGTGCTGGTAAGTATATAACAGCATGTCACAAGACCAGTTCAATACAAGTCACTGCATTTTTATCTTTCCACAGATGAATGTATGAATTTTTCTCATCTCTGGTGACGTTTCCACTTGCCCTGTGTGAACCCCTCCTGCTACTGTGTTCCTTCGCATCCCGTGTTTCTAGGGCAACGAAGGGCGGCCCAACGAACCTGCTGCCACCTCTTGATAGTAAATGGACAGTTCTCTAGTTCAGAAACGTGTTACTGAAGGGCTGCATGCATCTTACTGAAGGTAAAATTGAGTCACTCTCTGGGTTTTGCAAACAAACAAAATCACTCAGGTCTACCCAAAGCATCAGGACCAGAATGTGGGTCCTTTGGGAAAGATGAAAGGTTTAGCAGCACCCAGCAAATGTTATGCCTGAAAGCAGTACCTGTTACCAGTTAAGTAGATCAGCCACTACTTGGGCACTTCTCATACAGAAATGGTGAATTCTGTCCTTGAGAATTCTTTCATGTTCTGTCTTGAAGAGGACTAGAAGTTTCCCACTGGTTTACTTGTGAAGTAGTCCAGAGCCCAGTGTCTGTACAGTTACCCCACCCTTTCCCGAAGGCAGCCGTCCAGCCGCGGGGCAGGGAAGTTGTCTTCTTGATGACGTCTCTCCCACACTGGCCGTTTATAACGAAGCACTGGGCCTGCTGTTAGCTTTTCTGCTTGGTGGGGCTGAAGGACGCTGGCTGATAGCAGTAGAGGGAAGTACATTTTTCTAAAGTCATGAATAGTATCTCATTACCCAGACCTGAATATATTCTGCATTTATCTTGGTCACCAGCCAATGAAATCATCTTTGCAGTTCTCTCAAAACAAACCACCATTTTTTAAAATCTTAAGTTAATCATGAACAGATAAATTCAGATATTCAATTGGTATTTGTGAAATGGGTTTTCTTTATTGTTATTAGCTGCTATTTAGCCCATTAGCCATAAAGAAGGAGTTGGAAAAGTAGTAAAGGACATCTTGAACAACCAGAGATAATGAGGAACAAATAATTTCAAAACTCCTGTCTGCTGTAACTGCATTGAGAACTGCATATTTTCCAGTGAAATGTATTTTCTGACAATTACATGTACAAATGGTTCCAAGAGCTCTCCTGTGCTTTTTCCAGAAGCTTTCCTGAATGAATGCTGTTTGACATGGCTTGTGTTTCTCACCTTCTCCACTCATTAACGCAGACAGAGGGACGAGGCCTTCGGGCTGGGCAGGCCAGGGGCGGGGCGCACACCCCACAGCACACCATCTGTGTGGCTGCATCACGTTCCCCCACCCCACTGCCACCACACCCATCTTGTTATGTAAGCGCTGTACTACTCTGGGGTGGTGAGATTTTCTTGAAATTGAAAAATTAAAATACATGTACTGCATTGCAGTGTCCTGTGAGCACAGTGTGTGCTGCCTTTTCTTGGTGCAGCATGCATCTGGAGGCCTCAGGCAAGGCAGGAAGAGCCTAACTGGATTTGGTGGATTTAAGTGGAAATGATCAAGAGGCAGGACAGCATTGAAAAATATTGTTTGTAATGGGTTTGACTATTTTTTACTTTTGCCCTTTGACAATGAGTTAGAATGATTTTGTTTTACTGCAGTAGCCAAAATATTTTAAGAGGTATTAAAATTCTAGTAGTTGTCTTGCCATGATCTTAGAAGGCAATGACATGATGAGTCGGCTTAATCTTTCTCACTTACGTGTGGGTCCTTATTTTAAAATAAGATTAATGACACTATTTTCCTAAGTGTTGTGCTCCCTTCACCTACATATAATCAGAATTTCTGTGGCAGATTTAAGATGGAAATATAACTGGAAAATGCTCTGACAGGTGCCATTAGAGAGCTAACCAAACACTATACTTTTGTAACTCAGGACCACAGCTGTCTCCAAAAGCACAAACATTTGGCACTAATCTTAAAACAATCTGCGGTAATACTAATTTGGGGCATTACCCCAAATTAACCGTTTTCATCTTTCAAATACATGTGAAATGAGACTGTCTTCCAAGGCAACCCCGTAGGAGCCATTGTCACCTTCAAGTGCGAGCTCTTTCGCAGGATTCAAGTCTTAGTCCGGCATCGTGCCAGGCATCTGTTCCAACTGAACAAGGCCTCTGTGCCTGCCAGAGTTCCCTGCCCCAAGGCAGATGAGCAAACCTTCAGAAAATTTATTTTCCACACAGTTTTGTTTATATACATGTATTTATTATGCTGTAAAAAGCAACACCACCTGATTTCATTTAAAATAAACGTTTCCCAGTTTCAGAACACTTACAACTTACGGTTTGAAGACTAGATTCACTTTGGGAGATACTAGAAGCAAATACATTCATAGCTGTGTGTTCCCCAGGAAAAATCTAAGCCCCATACCAGGTCTTTGAGTGGCTGCCAGGCAGACAGTGGCATGGAATGGTCGTGAGCCACGTGGCAGCAGCTGGGGCTCAGCAAGTGACCACAGATGAAGCCATCCGCACCCAGTTTGGCAACAATAGCCATGCGTGTGAATCTTTAGTACACACATGTCCACACAGAGCTCTCATGATACAGAAAAGCACACATGATCCTAAAGCAAAAACGAAATCTTTGGAGTTTACTAATGGTAGCAGTTTACAGCACAGTCAACAAGCTTTTAAACCAAGTATACTCACTATTACCAGCCAGGGTGCACAGCCAAGCAGGAGCCAGGGCAGAGTCATAAATAACAGCGGGGTAGCTCAGGGCACGGTTAACTAAACCACAGAGATTTCACAGAACGGTTTGGATCTGAGAAAAGATACAAACCCCTTCTGTTCCCAAGCCACAGAAACTCTGCTCTTAGAGAAAAATGTCCAATCAGCAGCAGTCTGCGAGCTATAAATTTGAACTGTCCTAAATTGCATTTTATCATACAGTAGTACAGCAAGGTTAGCACAGTGGACTTCAATAAAAACAAATGCATCCTGCAATGTCTTTGGAAGTGATGCTGTCCCAGGCACCATCTTGCAGAGCCCACCTCTGAGCTGTAGACCCTCAGAGCAGGAGCATAGTGGCCTGGCTGTTGCCCACCCCCATCCTCCAACAGCTTCATGCTTGGTGCAGCTAAAGAGCACTGGCCATGGCCTCAACAGAGAAGTGCTGTCCAGGTAATGGAGGCAGTGGCTGAAGCCACTGACACACTGACAGCCAAAACCCAGCCCAACCCAGCGTTGCTGGAGTCGGGTCCCATCAGGCATAATAAAGCTTGGAAGCAGCATGTGCTGATAGGAAAAAAATACCCTTATCAATATGGTAATAACTAGCATTAGTGCAGTCTGTCCTGCTCATGTCACCAAACACAGCTTCAAAGAAGTCCGTGTGTGTCTGTGTGTGCGCGCACTTGTCACCAGAAATCCTCTACCAAAGATGTAAGACAAAATTCATGTGCAATTCCTAGAAAATTCCATTTTGAAGTCCCTTTTACCCACCTCCTACATCATGAATGTCTCTCTCCCGCCCAAGATAGAGCCCACCCAAAATTACACAGCAGAGAATTAACACTCTGCAGTGGCCCAGTGGTCCAAAAGAGGACAGGTATCTAGGATGCAGAATTTCAATGATGGGTTTCAAAATAAGCATTATTGTAGCTACTTCAGGGTAGTTCTGGTAGCTTAGAGCACTTTTAAATTTGTATCCTATAAGTTTAAAATATATTCAAGAGTGGGAGAGGCACAACCCTTCTCTTTCTAGACTAAGGAATTTGACTAGAAATGACTCAGTGATTTTGTCTCTGGTTCATCCTTAGACACATGGCACCATTCTAGCTTTGATGCCAGGCATATGAGGCTTGTTCTGACTCACTGTGGAAAACAAGAAAACTGCATAGTATGCCAGCTCTCTCCTTCCCAGCCAGAGGGAACACAGAAGCAGATACTAATATCTGAGAAGAGAGGCTGGACTAAGGGGATATAAAAAAAGGAAATTTTTTCAAAAGTATTGTAACTATTACATTCGCAATCATGTTTTGGTCACCAAACAGAATCAGATTCCCTGATAAAGTCCAAGCAGACTCACTCTACCCTACTAACAGTTGTTCGCTGTCGTCATTGTCCCACCATGAAGCTAGGGTGGTGGGAGACTTATTAAACATACAACTCTAACTGCATATTGGTTGTTCACACATTCAAACTAAATCTATGTTCAAAGTCTTGAAAAATCACACTGTTTGCCTCTAATAGCAGCCTTGGCCCATTTGGACAGACTGTTCAACAAAGCTTAATTTCTAAATGCATTTCCACACTTCATCACCATGAGTTGAAAATTCACAAAACATACAAATCATGAAGACCACACAATTACTTATGCTAGCATTGGTAACTATTCTTTTACATCAAATTGTTCAATGCACGAGGTAAATATTGCTCACATTATGGAGGGAGGTTGTTTTATTTCTATTTTTTCCCGAAGAGATCAAATTTGTCCTGTGCGCACAAGGAAGAAAACTCCAGTAACACTGAAATGACAAAGGTTGTAAAATGTACATCACTACCAGATAGAAATACACACGTTCTTCATAATCATTTCCACAATTACATAGGTAAGTGACTTCAATCCTGGGACTTAAGACCATTACAGCAATCCATCAAGGTTCTTGTGGACGGTTTGATTTTCCTTTCCATTGTCAGAGTCTCCTTGAGGTGTGTACTGGACTTGGTATTCCTGGAGGATTTTAAACACATCGTGGTGTCCAAAGTGCAGTGCTTCATCCATGGGCGTGTTGTTCCATCTAAATAGCATGGACAGTCATTAGGTAATCGCTGTACAAAACCAATTTCCCACCAGTTCTAGGTCTTAATGAAGGTTAAATGGCCATGCAAAAGCCATTTCAGCAATATTACAAGTCAAAATTCATGGTCAAAATGTGGAAAGAAATTTGTGATTCAGTAAGTGATGATGGGGACAAGTTGGGATAAGAGAAGGAAAAAGGACCTTGTTGACACATGCAAGTGCTTATAAAGGGACTTTGCAAGCAAATGCCTAGTACTGACACGTATTATAGTCATGGAAAGCCCAAAGTATATTCTTTTGAAATACAATGTTCAAAGGAAATTCAGCCATATTATATTCTTAATCCTGCCTTTGACACACAATTTTTGTCCTCATGTACTTTTAAAGTCACAGTAAGTCTCAAAAATCTAGAAATAATGTCACCCTCATTAGGGCTGAAACACACATTGGACAAGCAAGACTGGGCCCAAAGTAAGCAATATGTTCATCATCTCTGATAAGGATGGAAGGTTAGGGGCTCATGGGACCCCTGGGTGAACATAAGAATTCCCTGTCCTATTCCATCCTAAGTGGGCTGTTAGGCCTGTGCTATATGAAGATTTGAAGACAAGAACTGAAGAATTGCCAGTGCCCATTCATCAATCACTAAGCCATTTGCAACAGCAGACATCTCTGTGACACAGCCCAATAAATGATGGGGTCTGATCCTCAACTGCCTCCACATCCCTTTGACTTCTATCCTCCATGCTACCCATCCTTCTTATTCCACTTACTCTTTCTTATGCTCTTCTTCCCATCTCTATCCCCTCTTAATGGTGTCCATATGGGTCTAAAAGGTTTTAAAGTTTCGTGGTTTTAGCTTTGTAGTTAGCATTTATGAAGTTGGTAGTCTCTTAAATTTTAAAATCAGGTAAGTAACTTTACACATCTTTGTGTTTCTTTAAAAAAAAAAAAAAAGCCAAATTAAATGGCTTCTTAGGCATCAATTAGTTTAGGGACATGGTGGCTCTAAGGACTCCACAGTTTCCTCCACAGCATGTGACTGTCTTCCGGGGGTGAAAAAAAGGAATGCCAAGTGCAAGTTGCTTTTTTCAAACGTCACTTTCTGTGAAGTAACAAAAATACCAACTTCAAGAATTCACTAATTTTGCTCCACTACTTTACACTTTTAAATGACTATGACTCTGAATTAAGACCAAAACAAAGTTATCGTTGGTCTTTAGCTTCAATTTTGGAATAGTTGGCAATTTGGGGATAGTTGCTTACCAAATTAGTTGCTTAATTTATCTTTACCTATTGGATATTTTGATTTCCACATTCCAAGAGGCCAATTTTGAGGGGAAAAACTTATTCAGGTCTACAAGGCACAGTAAATACTTTAAGCATGTATTAAGCAATGTTTCAGTCAAGATCACAAATGAGCAGGGAGGGACTCTGCAATTTCTTGTTCTAGAAAGAGCTGGCAAGATACATGGCTAGATTATGACTTCAACAGAAGCGTTTTTAGAATACTACCAATCAAGGGCATCTTAATCACTATTTTTTTTAATCAATTACAGGAAGAGCTGAATAAGTAGTTACTACTTAGAAACTTGCTAATGATTTTTAGACACAACTTTCCTGCATTTCTTACAAGGTAAATCAATAAAACTCAAACAGTATTGCAAAAACGGTTAAAGAAAGCTATTTAGTAGTTAACGCTTGCAGCTAGAGAGGAACCAACTTGCTCCAAACTGTAGCTCCGAGGCATCATCAAATGCACGTTTAACATACACACCAAGTCTCATCAGGCTTTTCTCCTTATTCTGAACTAGTCTTCATTCACTGACTCATCCACTCCAGTAAATGATATTCAAATGTGTGAGTATAGTTTACTGTACATGTCCACAGTTCAGCTACAGTCTGACCCTGGCCTCAATTCCATATAGACTTCATCTGCCACAAGGTACCATATGGACCAGAAGGGAGAGGAAACGAGTTGACTACAGGCAAAGTTCATCCCTGAAGATGAGTTTCTCCACTATACCTTTAAACCTCATCTCTTGCCCAAGCACTAATCAGTTCAACGTTCACAAAGCCTCCACAAACTGATTCTACTGAAATACCGGAATCCCATTTTGAGGTTCTCTAATGGCAGGTCTCCTACGTATTTTGTATATGCATCTATAAATGTCCACTTGGTCTACCTGTGTAGTTAAAATACCCAAATATCCTATGTTTCCAAATACAAGGAACCATTTTGTTATACAAAATAGAAAAGGCAGTCCAACAAATCTGAAAATTCCCAAATAAGGTAACATTAGGAGACAATCTCTCCAATAGAATAAGATTTATTTGTTTGTTTGTTTTTATCAAAAGAGAGTCCTAGGGGAGTGGATGGAGAAATCCCAGACACTATGACATTGTATCATGAAGAAGAGAGAAAGCCTTAGTGTACTGAAACATTCCATAATGGAGTGTCAGAGCCCTCTATGGCAAAATGCTGACTTACCAATGATGTAAGACGGTAAGGGACTTGCTTACCTGTCCTTAGGGAAAGGATTTACTTTGCAAGCTTCCAGCAAAAATTTCACAACTTCAACATGACCTATAACCCATCCCCAAAGAAAAGGGCAGAATTTAGTAATGTGAATAGAAATTTTGGGGGAAAAAAACATAGGATGAGTGGTTCACATATTACCCTCTGCAGCAGCCACGTGGAGTGCTGTTCTGGAATCATAGTCCCGCTGTTCCATGTCCATGGCTGACAAAGCAAACCTGAAAATGTTTAAGCATTGCTATACATTAATACACACCCTATTTACCCCACCCATTTAAGATTCTCTTGAACATCCTCCTTCAGCAGGCTCACGAATGGTAACCACAGTCCCATTCAACCACTATACAGGTATTCTGGCTAAATATGATTTCACTTCTCTTCATTACCCACCCAAGCACCTTGGGGAAACGATGAAACATTTACCATCTTTCATATTACTATTGAAAACTCCAGAATAATGACACTACTGTGTTTCTCAGAAAGGCAAGAAATTGATACCTGTAGGATATTTCTGTGTTTTCACTTGGAGTCCCATGTTTTAAAAAATTTTCCTTTCTTTAATAGTGGGTGACAGGATTCTGGGGTTCCACAGGAATGGTAGTGACCAGTCTGGAGGAATCTGTCTGAGGGGTCCTACAAACCAGGATGCAGGTCCTCCAACACACTGCTCAGACGAAACCTATGGGGTCTCACCTAAACTTTTTTGGCGTGTCAGCAGGCCCTGAGGTCACCAAGGGTGACATAACGGTTTTCTTAGGCCATAAGAATCACCGGGGACAAGCTGGTAAGGAATGTCCTGGGGTCCCATTCTTTAACGTTTTGTAAACTACAGTTAACAAGTAATAGGCTTTAAAAGAAGAGTAAGAATTACGCAGGCATCTTTCACTTTAAAGACAAGCTGAGTGGTGTTCAATGCCATGGTTAAGATGGCACTCGGATGTCCACATGCTAAGTTAGAGCGCTAGGATCAGCCCCAGCTCTGTCAAGACCAGCTTCCTGTTCACATGCACCCTGAGGGGAAGCACATGACGACTCCCACCCATGTGGGAGACAGAGTTCCTAGCTTCCAGCTTTCACTGACTCAGGTCAACTGCTGCAGATGTGGGGGTGGGAGTGGGGAGTGAATCAGAACTGTGCGTGAAGTAGCACACATGTACACTCTTACTCTGTCTCAAAAAAAAAAAAGACCAGCTGCAGTTCTATATGAGAGACCTTACACTGGGCATATCACAATATACAGCCTTTCTAATCCTGTTGTGCCATAAGAGACCAAACACTCCTATTTGCCTCCTTCTCCTACCAAACATGTAGGCAAACAGTGGGTGGGTGGAGAGTACATGCCCTGTAACACTAAAGCACTGATAGCAATTTGATTAGACAGTTACTACATTAGGCAGTCATAGGCTTTAACAGAAGATAGAAAAGGACAAGGCCTGAGACCAGGCTTACAGCATTTCGAATGGAGTTTTATCACAAATTTTATTTATTTGGGGGTGCCTTTCACTAGAGGGAAATGAAGTGAGACCTCTGCCTTAAAATGGATGCTCTCACCCAGCAGCAACATCCAACACATCTACAAACCACATGTCAATGCACCCCGATAACATACCTTCGAAGTGCAGATACATCTCCAGTATATGCAGCAAACAAAAGATTGATCACTGACTTTACCTGTGAAGAAAAGAAAGTTCAGCCATCCACAGGGGAAAATAAACATTTAACCTGTGCAGCTGTACAGTCTTCAGTGATTCCCAAGTGCTTTGAACATTTCAGCTAGATCACACAAAGATATCTCAAGCACCTTTCTTCAATCAAAAGAACATGCATGTAGTATTTTTCTTCTTTTAACAGAGTAAGGGAAGATACAATGGTAAAGATAGACGAGGGAAGGAATGAATAAAATACATCCACTGTCACAAAGGAATGGTCACTTGAAACCTTTTGAAATTGGCATAGTTGAGGCATCTGAAAGTTGTTTATAACTCTTCCCACTGACCATATCTCAACAGGGTGAGCAGGTCTGCAGTGACAGAATTCATATCACATCATCATGATCAAAAACAGGATCATGCCATGGACTCATCAATGCCTAATCCTTGTCAGAAGTCACTGTCCTGGCCAAGCACTGGTGTCCGCATGGCCCACATCAACACTGTTAATCATCTAGACTTAAATGGAGGGATAGACTTATGAGTGTCTTCAATTCAGTGTCTGTGTCGGAACGAATTAGGGCAGTCTAGAACCTGTGACTCCACCTCTCCTTAAAAAGTAGGTCAACTCCCAAAATACTGTCACCATTGAGTGTCAAGTACCCACTTTTGTTACTATTATTAAAAGACAACTTATCCTAGAGGTTTCTGGATTTTGATCTGCTTTCATAAGACTTTAAGCAACCCTGTTTATGAGAAACTTTCAATGTTTGAAAGTATTTCATAACATTTCTATTACATGACTCAATTGCTACTGGACTCAATGATAGAAAACAAGTTTAATTGGAGGGATGGGAAGTGACTCAGCCTCCCTCCAAGCCCTGAAGCTGTACCTCAAGATCTTGAACAGACCTTCTCGCTTTCAAGTTGTGAATTTTGAAAACTATCTGAAACAGACCATTGTTGGATTTTCTTAATGCAACATTTCCAAAGTGTGCTGCATAGAAACTTGTCCACATGTTGCTACATTAAAATAAGGGTCCTGTGGTCAGGTATGTTTTTCAAATAATTACCCTCTTTGGATAGTCATGAGCACATAAAAGGTTCTGCAAGACTCCAACAGAAATGTGTCCCCTGAGTACTACTGCTTACTAGCATGCCCCCTAACTATTACTGTTTACTAGCAGGGTTGCAGTCAATCGCTTCAAAACCTTCCTCTCGGCCTCCAGGCCACTGGCTTCCTTTCCAGCTGCCCTCTTGGGCTCCTGCTCAGCCTGCTGCTGCAGTCAATCCTAACCCTAATAGCCCAGCACAATTGTCTTGATGTGGGCAGGAGAAAGAACTTCACCCAGAATATTCTAAAAACATACGCACCTATCCTCTCACTTTGAGATACCTATACCTTAAATGGATACAATTTAGGGGAGGGAAGTAGATATGATTTAAACAACAACACATAGTTTCATCCAGAAAGCTCTAAAAACATATGCTCTCCTCTCACTTTTAGAGTCCTGTGCCTTAAATGCATACACTCTAGGGAAAGAGTAGGCACAACTGTTGTTACAAGTCTCCAGTGATGTTGACATGCACTCTCTTGATTTGAAAGCCTGACATTTTTAGTTGGTATTTTGAGAATCTTAAACCTTGAATACCAGTGGAAACCCCTAACAGATAAATGATCTTGACTACCAAATTTACTGAACAGATAAAAAAGAAATCTCATCTCCCCCAAGTCTTATGCAATATGCCTTCTAATATCTTTTCTCTCTTCTCTCTGCCCTCCTTTCAGAATTTATCTGCTGAAAGTCTGTAATTCCTTGCCATTTACTTTCACATTCACTGTGAAATCTAAACAGTATCCTTAAACACTCTTGGCAGTTCTCTTGAGCCACTTATCACAACGCCCCCCCTTTATTCCCCCTCTCTCCAAATTTGTCTTCTATGCCAGTCATGCTGATCTCCCTGACCCGCATTCAGTGCCCACTTCCCACAGCCCATGAACACGCCAAAGATAATCTACATCCTTCCTGCTTCTCAGTAACATTCCTCAAAATCTCTGGCATTTCTCTGGGTAAAATGACTCGTTATAGAGCACTGTTCCCAAACACAAACCCTGTAGCTCCACTTGATTTTTATGCTGTCATTTTCAACTCAGATTCAGCAGCCCTCCACCTAATACTTGTCCCTTGCCCTGGCTTTGGAAGTCCTAGCCACCTGCTGTGTGGCACTGACTTGGGATGGCCAAAATTTGAATTTGATTTAATCTGCCTTTCTCCACCCACAGTCCACTCCTGGTCTCTCCCATTTAGGAAGAATAGGACAGTTCACCTAGTTGAGTAAGACAAAAAGTAGGAGTCACCCAGGGCTGCTACTTCTGTTTGTACACGTAAGTTCTGCATAAAGTTGCTTGATTCCATGGCCAAACAAGGGCATCCAGCCCGTGTTCTTCCCACCACCGAGTCTCCGACTTAATCAGCAAGTCCTCTTGCTGTACCTCTAAAATGTATAGACTCCCACTTCTCATAAGCTCTATCACCACTGCCAGGGTCTCCAGTGGGCCACCAGCCTTTCTCACCCCAAGACTTTAATAAGCCCCTTGGTACTCTGTCAATCCTGCTGACCTTTGCAAGCCACCCAAGCCCTCCCTCATGACTTGCTATCACATCTAGAGTGAGGCTCTATTCCCTGCTTCCCTCCTGTCTCCCTCCCCCTTTCACTTCTCCCCCCCACAGAGGCAGCCCACCATCTCACTGTGCTGGCCTCAGGGGCTCTGCTTGCTGTAAGCTGGCTCTTTCCCCAGGCAGGGCTCTCCTTTCATTTATACCTTGGCTCACATGTTATTTTGAGAAAGCTAAAACAACCACCCTCTTTCATCACTGCTTATGCCTTACCCATTTTTCCCCTCCCATTCAGGTAAGTTGTGATTACTTGACATTTACATCGTGTGCATATGTCTTTCACTCTCCACCTCCCTTAAATTTTTTTATCTTCAAATATGGTGACCAGATACAGGCAGTCCTTTTATGGCTGCCCCTACTTCCAGTCATCCTACCCTCCAAAACCTTCACACTCACTTCTAATGCTCTTCTCAAAATATTGTTTTGATCACTAAAGGATTCTAGGCAGTCATGAGATCCAGAGATCATTCCTGATAAAAATCTAGAGCATGTTATAGCATGATAAATTATTTTACTGAAAGCATTTCTATTCCATATGGATTTTTCAAGCTAATTGTAAAGCTTTTCATAAAATCATTTTTAAAAACCCTCAAATCTTTACCTTGCATTCCAAGTCCCTCCATCTGGTCTATTTCTCTCTCAACCTGGTGGGGGAAAAGCAGTCTTCCTTCCTTGTCTTGTCTCCCTTTGAGAATACCAGATGCCTCACCAAATCCCTCCTTTCTCCCAAGGGCTAGCTGGGAAGTCCTGCTGCCTGCCTTCATCAGGCCATCCTAGCCCCACATTCATTACCCAGAGAGCTTGTTGCCTGCTTGCATACAGCACTCTCACTCTGCCAATGCATATGCCAGGAACCCAGCTCCTAGTTAGGTACCTCTCCACCAAGGCCCTGAGTGTACCTTCTACTCCTTCAGACCACAATATGTACTATTCCCTGGATGGATCCTCGACCCACTTATCCCTGCAGTGCTATCCTCACCCCTTCCCTCCAGGAACGGCACTTCAATTCTAGTCAGCAGCAAGCTCCTTTTCCTACTCCTGCCTTGCCGTGGCATCATCCCTCATATCCACTGGTCCATGTACTTGACTACTGTATGCATCACTATAGAAAAATTTAGATTCTAATATACACACCATCAGCATATTATCTATATTATTTTAAACATACTAGTTGGGCCTGGCACAGTAGCCTAGTGGCTAAAGTCCTCACCTTGCACGTGCCAGGATCTCATATGGTTGGCTGGTTCTAATCCCAGTAGCCCTGCTTCCCATCCAGCTCCCTGCCTGTAGCATGGGAAAGCAGTCGAGGATGACCCAAAGCCTTGGCACCCTGCACCCACGTGGGAGACCCGGAAGCAGCTCTGATCTCTTGGCTTTGGACTGACTCAGATCCAGCCATTGCTGCTACTTGGGGAGTGAATCAGCAGACGGAAGATATTCCTCTCTGTCTCTCCTCCTCTCTATATACATATGACTTTACAATAAAAATAAATCTTAAAAAAAAAAAACTAGTCTTTCTAAGCAACAAATCCTAATCTGCTTAGATGACAAAAATATAACTGCACTGTTTTCCTCTATAACAAACAAACCTGAATATAGACCAAACAGGTTTGAAGAGATTATAAACAGTCTATACACCTCTTAATTGCTTAAGTTTTCAGTACCTTAAAGGTCCTAAAATGAAATTTCTTGGTAATCAGGCCCATGAAAGGTTGATTTTAAAGCATAAGAAGTTTAGAGTATATTACCCTTCATTCACAAGCATTTTTAACTCAGAAATAAAATAAGATTAAATCAGAAAACAACAGTTTGTGACTAATTGTAGGCTGAAGGTGGGAGTGAGGAGCATTAGCTTGCAATAACAAAAGCTGTGGAAGAGAACATGGAATTCTGGTGTGTTTCCCTTGAAAACAGAAGGCAAGATTTGGACTAGGCCAAACCGGAAGATAGAAATTTGGTGCCCAAACGAGGGTCATTCTCTTCAAGGCGGAGAAGCTGTAGGAGGTGGTATATACACAGGCATCATTTAAAACTAAAACCACAAATGCTTCCTCATTGCAGCAAACAGCCACTTAGGTATTTAAAGATTGCATATATCATGAAATAAGTGCAGGAAGAAAATGAAACATTGAGACAACCAATGGCATGTCTCATTAGTCCCTATTCTCCAACTGACATGCCTTCTGGAATGTCTACTGTGGCAACAAAGTGACAGGGAGGTACATTCTAGGTGAGACGACTCATTTGCCTCCAAGACAACTCTGGCAAAGGATACAATGTGCTCATTCTCCTAATTCCCCACTGGGTTGTAGAGTTGCACTCCTGGTAAAATACCTATTACAATCAAGATCCAGAAAATAGCGGGTTAACAGGAACTGCCATAGGCATGAATCACACAATATGATTCACCCCTCAGTACAAAGACCCAGACTATACACAGCAGCACCATCAATTATGGACTCTGCTGTTCTTTCCAGAGGAAGGAAAACCACACTTGGGCTGGTAGCCATTAAAAATTTATAAATTAAATGTGAAGTTTCCCCTTTATCCTGCAGATTTTTTCCAGTACTAGGGCATTTTCCTTATCAAAACTCTTCATCAGAACCTGCCAGCACCAGACAACCTTATCTTAGTTTATTTGTACAAGGTCATGACAACCAACCGTGGGATGAAAATATCGCAGTGTGCATGAGTTTATTTAACGCTGGCATGCTTGGCTTATCACAATCTCTTTTTCCAAAACAGCTAGAAGCAGGTGGAGATTCTATCAATTTTAGAAACTAGTATATGCCTTTCTGAAGTTCTTCAAATCTATCATCCTATGCATTGTGTTTTAAAAAGTGGAATTATGATGACTTTTGTTTCTTCCCAAATGCCTTTATAATTGAGTGCTGACAACTAAGAAGCTATTGTTAGAATCATGTAATCACATTTTATATAATGGTCAACCCTAAAAATCTGACATTTTAAATAGTTATAACTGTATTTGAAAATCCTGAAAGGCTATATTTTCCTCACTGCCATCGCCGAGATTAAGGTCAAGGGTTTTGGCTCACATGAATTGGTGATGTAGCTGGGACAGAGCTCAGGTATCTGGAGCCTTAATTCTCTACTGCCCAGGACAATGCAAGTTGATAACTCATTTGGTTGCTATCCAAAGTAAAAAAGAAAACCAAAGAATTAAACAGCCACTTTAATTAAAAAGGTCTTCAGCTAAATGTTGGAAGGAAGGAGAAAGGAGGAAATAAAAGGAGAGGAAAGGAAGGAGGTGGAGGGGGAGGAATGACAATGATTTTATTTCTACATCAAAAAACTGAGGCTTCCTTTGCTTTCCATCTTTAGTATCTGTCTTCATACGAAGACTAATTCAGTTATTTTGGAATGATTTTTAGTGGAAAAAAAAAGCCAGTCACTGAAACCCCATCCTCCTGTTCCTGCCCCTATAGGCTGACATACCCTGCTCTCTCATTTCCAGCTCACTACGGTGTCTGGTGGTGTGGAATGGATATCATCTTCACCTGTTAAATAAACCATGTGGCTCCAGATCCAATTTTGTACTAAAACTTTATCCCAGCTTGGCTGTTTACAGCATTCAAATGTAAATAAGCCTCTGCCCTTCTTTTATAAATGTTTTTAAGGACATGTGAAAACCTAGGAATGTATTTTAGTGTAGCTGAAGAAACACTGCAAGTTGCCAGCTTATGAATAAATTAACTACTTTGCAGATAATAGAAAACAAACCTGTATTTTTTCATGTGTGATTAGAGGTGTTTTCTCTAGCCTTTACTCCTGAGCTTACTTAATATTGGTAAAGATATACAAAACAAAATTACAGTACTTTCATGATTAAACAGAATGAAACCACATCCTAAGCTTCCCGATGATTTACTCAGTTATTAATATACTATATATAGACCATACTAATCCAAAACATGATCACATTAGAGGATTAGAGAAAAGCTCTTTACGGGGAAGAACAATTCAGAAATTTCACAACCACACTTTCAGATGTTTACACAAATGCAGGTTATCATGGTAAATTCTTTTACCTTACTTTAAAAATACAAACCCAAAACAGCAGTTCCAAATAGTACATTCTGCTCTTACCAGATAAAGTACTTAAACATATACCAGTTCAACATTTCAGATTAATCTGAAATAATTTACAACACAATAATCCATGAAGATATTAAATCACTGTCAACCAGTTCATAAGAAGCATCTATTCCCATTGAGCTAAACATTTCAAATGCCATTATTGTCAATACTGCTCAAAGAAAACTAAAGGCTGGCATGTTTACATAACTTGATGAAGATGTCAGGGCTGCTAAGTGGTACAAGCCAACCAGACAGCAGCATCAGTGCCCACAATGAGGATCTATCTATTGGGCCATAATTCCTATCGAAACCTGAGATTTCCCCCACATTTGTCAAGACAAAAATATACTGTGACAGGAAGTTAAGAAATACTTTATAGGGAAACGAGAGATACTAAGCACATCAAGGTCTCAAAATTTTAAGTGAAAATAAAAAGATAATTTGGCATATCAATACTACAAACAATTGAAAAAATGTTTTTTCCTTTGCATTTGAATCTCAGCGAAACATGCACTTTTGTTAATGTGACTGAAAACAAACAGGAGTGCTAAGGCGTTGCCAGCAGTTAAATAACTTCTTATCTCAGTGGCTCAGTTTTCCAGGCACTGCCAATAAGTGGGCTACAAAGATGCCAACGGGACTAAGCAGCCTTCCTTTTACATCTGATAAAGATGACAATACATCCTTGTGTGGTCCGACAAATACCAGATGAAGAGGGAGTGCAGCGTGGAAGAACTGCACAAAGGTGCAGCCATTTCACTGGCCAAGACAGTTGCACTTTTTGTGTGGCTGACCTGAAAATTTTGTATTGCACTGACAACTGCGTAAGTTCCTTATTCAGGCTGGCATTTGGCCTAGCACTGAAGATGCCTGCATCTAATAATCCAAATGCGGAGTTTGAGTGACCCCCAATCCCAGCTTCTTCCCATACACCCTAAGAGGCAGCAGGTGTGGCTGGGTGTCTGCAGTCCACATGGGAGGCCTGGATTAAGATCCTAACTCCCAGCTTTGGCCTGGCCCAGCCATAAACAGAGGATATTTGGGAATTAAACAAATGGGTCGTAGTATTCTGTCTCAAATAATTTTTTGTTTTTTCATTCACTACCTTCCTAGTGTCCAACTCACATAACCAAACAGGTGCAAAACCTCATGAAGGTTAGCCTACATGACACAAGGTCTCACAATTCCTAAATGGTACTGTTACGCGTGAGCACAAAATGTTGGTAACTAAAAGACAAGTGCATAAAACTCAAAAGTCAAAGAACCAAAAACAAAAACCCCAAAACCAAAAGAAAAAACGAAAAACAAGAACCCCACAAAAAACCAGAAATAAAACAAGTTACTTGTCAAAAACTATATGTGAATACATTATTACTTCAAAGAAAAATGTCACAGCTACTGGAATCTAAAGATTTTTTTGAAAAGACAATGTCTTGTATAATTTATAACCACAAACAAAGCCCCTGAGAGAGATGGGGTTCTCTTTGCTGAACAGCAGTTTTGGCTTCAATTTGCAATTGAAAGATTCATTTCTTTCAGTATACTAAAAGTCCTGCTATTTAAGAGAGCAAGGCACATGGACATGAATTTTGTAGTAATCGCAACCATAAGACAGCCTCACTGACTGCTATAATGTTAAAGAATCCCGCTTTCATTGGTCTCCCAGGAGATAGACTTAATTCTGTTCTCTAGTGTTTCTTTCACATTGTGTTGTGAAAGGCCCAACTTGTGTTTTATGAATCACATGGCAAATTCCAACATTTCCCTAGTGCCATACACTTTGCAAATCACTTACAAATAACCATTCTCATTACTCAGATTATGAAAGCAAGCTTCTCCAACATAAAACACAGCAATTGCTAGAGAAAAGGAATTTTTTTTTCAACCTTCAAAAACAATGAAATCAGGACCTGGCACAGTAGCCTAGTGGCTAAAGTCCTTGCCTTGTCCATGCAGGGATCCCATATGGGCACCAGTTCTATTCTGGCAGCCCTGCTTCCCTTCCAGCTCCCTGCTTATGGCCTGAGAAAGTAGTCATGGATGGCCCAAAGTTGGAGACCTGAAAGAAACTCATGGCTCCTGGTTCTGGGGAGTGAATCAATGGATGGAAGATCTTCCTCTTTGTCTCTCCTCCTCTCTACATCTGACTTTCCAATAAAAGTGAATAAATCTTAATATATATATAAGTAAAGGAATCAAATGGGATTGGGGACAGCAGTCCTGACATCACTTGGGATGCCCATAGCCCAGGCCCGGGTCTCAGTCAGGGCTTTGCTACCAAGTCCAGCTGCTTGCTAACTGTACCTCCTGGGAGGTAGCACGTGTCGGCTTCAGTATATGAATCCCTTGTGTCCTGGCCAACCACAGCTATGGAAAAAAATGTACTTCTGTCTCACCCTGCATCTTTTTTTTCAAATAAATAAAAATTTACAAAACAAATGCGACTTTATACGTGCACATCCTTGCACATGTACATCTCGAGAGTTTTGCTTTGTTATTCGTACAAAATCACTCCGGCACCATCCCCAGAGCCGTATCAACTGATTTTAGCTAATTTAAAATTTATATTAGTAATATTATATTCTGTAGTCCAGATTGAGCATGGTACAGTCATACACAGAATTTAATGTAATATCCATTAGCTGAAAGCTCTCAATAGAACCAAAGCATGAAAGGAAAACAAATTCTAAAAGCATGTCTTCTATGAAGGAAGGTGCACAAACATAGAATTGTACAGCCTAGAGTTAAAATTCATCTCCATAGAGTGGAATGGCCGCTCTGAGACTGAGCTGACACTCAAGAGGCCTAAGCCCAGGACATCAAAGCTTAGGAAGCACAGCTGACGTTTGGGATGGCATTATTCCTAATTTTTTTTTTTAATTTTAGGAGGGGGTGAGGGAGATTGTTAAATCAGAAAAAAAAAAAAATCTTCCTGTGTGTACTTTTATTCAACCTCCTATAATTAAACAGACCAGGTTACATAAGCTAACACTGAACTAATAATCTCTTCCCATGCGCCCAATGTCACTAAGACCTTCTTTAACAATAATTTCATTTCTTCATTGTCCAGGACACATAATATAACCCTTGTGTTATAATTTTGGTTCTATCTGAAGTGATTAAAGCAAAAACAAAAATTTAAAAAAAAAAAAAACCACATTTACAAAGACAAATGTGGGAGGTTCTAGGCAAGTGTAGAAAAATGTCATCTTTATCACTGAATCCCTCAAGTTTGGGGTTTCAAAAAATCAGATTCTAAAAACAGTAGAGATGAACAAAATAGTCATCCCTGGATAAGGAGGTTCCAGGTGAGCACCAACCACTGCCACATATTTACAGGACGAATAAACATTCCGAGCTCTCTGAAATGGTGTGAAAATCAGAGTTGATGAAAATGTTAATGAAGTTTAATGACACTCAAATGGAGTACAAAGGATTTAAAATACGTATTTTAAAATAAATAGTTAAGCGTCAGAATTTGGTGCCAACATGTGCATTTGTATCTGAAGTTATGAGAATACACACACATTTTTTTAAGCACTGAAACCAGGTACATTTGCAGAACAAAATAATAATGCTAAGATTTGGGGCCGATTTTTCTTCACAATGAAGTAATATTGCAGGTAATTTTCCTCACCTATGTGAATAGCTAAAAACATTAATTGTAGTGTCGGAACAAGTCTGATAATTTTCAGCAATGTGATCTTTGGACAAGGATTTTATTTCTGCAAGTGAAATATACATGTACAAGTTAAAGTCCTGAGACCTTAATGGTACACACTGCAGTTACTCCTGTACACCATGTGCTGTAGCATTACATGCTATGTGCTATATATTCTGGGTTTTAGCCAAACTCAAGTAGACACGACTGTATATGAAGTTTCCCTGCATTCTTATTTTCTTATGGCACTTATTAGTCTTACTTTTCATGGGATATCCCAATTTTATTAGCAAAGTGACACAGATTGTTTATTGTATTTTACAATGGGAAAACTATATTGTCTTTGGTCAAGAGGATGGTTAATAATCAAAATTAACTGTGTGTTAATCCAGAGTCTATATGCCTCAAAGCTCTATAACCTTAGAGAAGTTCCATGGCCTGCCTAGGTCTATACAGTGTCTATGAGGATTGCAGAGTTCCTGAAATCACTTGTCCCTAGTGACTGACCCAAGTAATAAATGTTATTGTATTTGGTGTCCAAAGGTATGCTATTTAAATTTTTGTTAATTTTCAGATGATTTGTTAATTTTCTGATAATTTTCTGATGTATCATGCTTTCCTTTATACTGCAGTTGACATTAGGCATCTATTGTTAACATTAGGCGTCTGCTGCACATCACCCTGAAGATACTTGAGCTAATGATTCTGCAAGGAAGGCATGGACTGACTAGCTGCTGGAAAGACAAGGGAAAATCTACAGCAATCAATGAGATATCCCATGTTTGTAATTCCTGTATCTTTGGGAAATGAATATTGTGTACTTAGTTCAAGTCTGCCCACTGCACACAATCTCTGTGATAAGGGGCTGACCAGGAAACCAGGTCTTGCACAGTCTTTGATACAGGCAATAGACATGGATAAGAAACTGCCATTTTTAAAAAGCTGCCAAATTCAGGCAGGCATTTCAAACTGATGACTATTTAGAGAATAACTGTTAAGCTTTTCAATATGTGTCTGAGTGACAAGTGTCGTAAATAAAGTACCTCTTCTTGGACTCGATTTTACTCAGATTGTAGAAGAAAACCTTCAGTCCCAACTCACAAATCCACAAAATTTCAAAATATTAAAGCAGGTAAAATAAAGCAGAACAATATTTACTAAAGATTTCAAGAAGGAAAGATGTTTATGGTATACTTCATACTAGACTATCCACTTAGCACTCATCCATGCTATTTAAATTATAAAAGATAAAAAGTAGCCTGAGTTTTTAACAAAATATCCTGTACCTTACAATGACATTCTATAGAGCAATATTTGCAGAACATAATATATAAACAGAACAGCAGTTCTGACTCCCCAGCTACACACAAATGCACACAACCCCCCTAGAGTACAAAATAGATATATCAGAACAGGAGCAGAGACAATTACAAGGCAAAGTCCAACTAAGTAACAGGCTCGTCTGTTGATTCTGTGTCAAACAGGAGATACAAAACAAAACTGCGCAGTAGAGACTGAATAAACATAAAAGCTCCTCCCATGGTCATTAGTTAGCTAAAACCCAGCTAACTAGTTGTCCTTCATCTTGGCTCTCCTTCAGGTAAAGAATGAAAAAGACCATACATTCTCTAAGTTCTGGTAAAATTCCATATTTCATTGAAAAAAGAAGAGATAAATAAAAAGTCAAGCTTTACTCCTTCCCTCCCCTACCCCTTCCTTCTTAAGATCATTCCTTGAAGTTTCCCTTCTGGTAAAAGATACATTAAAGCAGGAATACTTTATTGGCATAATTAAACAAAGTTAACATTATTGGTCACCATAAAACTTCAACATGAAAAATAAAGAATTAATATGTATATGTTGAGCAAGTGAGAGTTGACAAAAAAATCCAACAAAAATCACATCTTGTAATTCATCAGAATCTCAATGGAATCTTCATTGTACAGAAAATGTAACATTTACTCATTTCCATTTAAATAACCACCTCTAACTGTAATACTATTTATTTCACTTTGATATAAATCTTGTGCATGTGCTCAAAGGGGTCCATAAAGTAAGCTAAATTATACTAAAGAAATCAGTATTTGTAAATGTCATTAATATTAAACTATCTAGAAGTGACCAAACCAGCAACATAAATAATTGTAAATAACCCATTTATAAACAGATTTTAGTTATTCCATTTTCACATGATTCTGAATTACATAAGAAACAAAAAATAAGTTAGAACCTAAAATAAAGATAACATATTTTAACTTTTTCAAAAAGGACTTTTAATTTTGAGTGACTATGAAAAAGACCAAATAGTCATCTGTGCCATAATTTTGCACAACACCATCAACCTCATTTAATGCAACGTCAAGACTTAAAGGTTAAATATGGGCCCTTCAAAGGCATTTTGTAAACTGCCCCCTGGGATTTGTGAAAGGCAAAAACTGTTAATGCTAATCCAGGGATCAACAAAAGTTTAAAGACTTAAGACTTAAATTTGGACTCCACAATGCAAGGTTCAAATATTAGTAATCATACCTATATAACTGATGCTAGTATTTTAGAAGCATTCTTAAGAAAAATAAGAAAAACAAAAAGCAAACGAAGCTTACAGTCTCATAAAAGCTGAGGTTCTATTAAAAAATTCAAATTCCCATTTTAATATTACAGTTTTAGAATTCAAAAACCCATACTTTTTTGAGAGTAACAGTATGCCTTTATGTTTCACAAGTTAGCAAGGACTCTAAAAAGGTAATACATTTTAAGAACACAATATACAGTATTTTCCTTCATATTGAAAATAAAAACCCAGAACTAACATGTTAAAAGATAACATGTAAAGAGAAAAATCTTTATAGAACTTGAATAGCTTTTTCTTTACTAACAATTTTACTTTAACCCCCAAAGAATTTACTTTACAAGTGGCACAATGTTTCCTTTAGAGTAACACTTCAGCTAGGCTTTCTTTCAAGGACTCTATGGCAATAATTCTTAGAATTACTGCATAACAGCAATGTTTGCTTCCAGCTCTGCTAGTTTTTAAGAACTATAGCACATGACTGCTGTCATTAATTGTAGTTAAATAGTTTTAATAAATGTGGATGGTAATGTTTGCCAAGTAACTGATCACCGATTACTGCAAACCTCAATCTTAGGATTCAAAAAAATTATGAAATTATGACAAAAATCATATGCCAAACACCTATAAAGGTGGAAGTTTGATTAGAAAATGAAAAAAAAAAAAACATCGTAGCTTTAGAGAATATGGATTTAATCCTAGGTCAGGGTTCCAAGTACAACTATTAGGCAGAAGAGACCACCACTGTATAAATGAAACTTCACCAGAAACTTTACAAGAATACAGACATTGTAAGGCTATTTCAGGTAAGAATTTTTCCTTTCTAAAGGTAAGATTTCCAAAAGTTAATTTTCAATCATTTGGGGCATTAGATAGATGAAATGTATTTCAGCAATGTAAATACCTAGTAAAAAGGAGAACATACATTTTAATAATGCTGTGCCTAAAAAAAAATATGACCTCAGATATTAAATTTGGCTTATATACAAGTACACCAACTTGTTCTTTACCACTGAGATTCGGCCTATAAGAAATTTAAGCAAAATATTTTACAATTAATAAATGAGATTGAATCAAAAGTTTTACAGTGTTGAGATCAAAGTCAGATGCAGCAGCAGAGGCTAGCATTGTGGAGTAAAGTAATGGTGCCAGTTCATGCCCCAGCTGCTCCACTTCTTATCCAGCTCCTTGCTAGTGACCTAGGAGAAAGTAGCAAAGGATGGCACAAGTGTTTGACTCCTGCCACCCACACGAGAACCAGATGAAGCTCCAGGCTCCAGCTTGGCTCGGCCCTGGCTGCTGTGACCATCTCAAGAGGGAATAAATGGAAGGAAGATCTCAATGTCTCTAAGTCTTGCAGCTCCTCCATTCTACTGTAAGCTTTGTGAGGGCTAGAACAAACTTTTTTCAACTAAAGAAATAAATGACAGTTTTCAACACTGATTTATAATTTATCACTCAATATAATCTATACCAAAACTACAAACTGTACTCAAGTTCCACTTAGTACTCTAACAATTCTAAAAGTAAAGAACCCAAAAGGCAAAACAATTACAAAAAGGTCTCATCAACTCTTGTACATGACACATTTTTATCTATTAGCTACAACGTATGCAATTCCAATTTCTCTCCTTTCATGTCCACGAAATTTAAAAACCATATCAATAAATGATG